GTCGGTCAAAAGTTCCCCAATCAACTTCTGATTGAGCAAAATTGTATCATTATCTGAGGCATGCACTAGCAATGTCTCCCAGAATGAGATATTAAGACTGGCATCAATAAAGCTTTTTATATAGTTGAAACTAGATTCATTCTTCATAGCGTTCAAATTTTTATTAGAAATAATGTAGTTAATGCTAAAATTGTAGTATTTACGTAGTGATAATCATATTCATACTGTAATTCATGTGATTATAATGCAAACCCACTAAGTAATTCTTTTGCTAAATTGAAATTGAAAATTTGATTATGCCATTTTGAGGTCGATGTATTAAATGTAAAACATTTTTCATATGAGAATGCAAAATCCAAAGACTTTTCTATTTGTTAAGTTGCTTGAATCGTGAATTTGGAATTTTTATCAAAATATGGGCAAATAAGCTCGGCGTTGTCACACATTCACTCCCCCTGAAGTTGTGCTTTAATCAGAAGTCATGCTATTTTTCCAAATTTTTTCAAAATAGAGAAAATGATGAAAAATCTCTCATTTATTACATTCAAAATTTTAAATTTGAATTTTTTTTGGAAAATTTGTGATTCAAATTTCAATTTCTCCAAGTAAAACTGAAAATATTAACAGATCAAATCATAGAATTAACTTATCAAATTGTTGTATTCATTTCTTGCGATAATTCGTTCAAAAGCTTTGTTTAAATCTATTTATTTTAATAATAAAAATAGATAGATCTCCGCTATGAAAACATGATACCATGCTGATATGAAATATGAGTTAACATATAATTAAAAAGTTTCTACAATTAATAAGAAATTTATTACTAACTCTTTATTTTAACTATATTGAAACTTTTTATATGCATTCTGGCCAGTAAAGATCCAGAGAACCACATCTGCATCAATTTATGCTGAAGATTTCTGGATTTCATTACTCTTTTGAAAGACATCCAGATATCTTCAGCATAAATGAATTACATACATGTTCTCTCGCTCTTTGTGAACCACCTACCACAACAAAATTACCTTAGGGCAAAGTTCGGCTGAAGTCTCCCATATGATGAGAAAGAAACTTTAGAGCAGCTTGCCATATCCGACTAATTACACAATCCCTAGCCCTTTGGGGACTATGGAGCTGTAGTAAAAGTATTATAAGGCAAAGTCCTTCCGAGGCCTCTCATCAAATGCGAGACTTCGGAAGGACTTTGCCTCATTCGAGTAATTCTACATTCCTGGGACGTTAAGGACCAGGAAGCAGCAGTATAAAGTATGAGGGCAATGACGTATAACTAATATCTCAATAAACGCAGTATCCATGCAGCCTAGCTACTATACCATTGCAGCTAGGCTGCATAGATATTGCGCTTCTGGCTTGCAGAACTCTCATGGTAGACTAAGCGGAGATCTGATGCTGAAATCACTTGCTGATGTGGATGGAGCAGCACTATGATTGGCCAGACCAAAGGCTGCGTAGCATCTCAGCAAGTAGATTATCGGCGGTGACTCCAGCTATGGTCCACCATGAGATTATGACATTTTTGCGATTTGACGGGAATGCTTTGACCTTTACGAGTAAAATCACATCCGACACCTTTGATGGGTCAAGAAGTAGTGGTATACAATAAGTGTTGGGATTGCAAAGATGAATCTGAATAGACGCAAAAGTAAGAGAGACAGGCGTGAGATAACCGGTAAGAGTCAATGGAAAGTATCAAAGGTGTCTCTAGTTTGAAAGTCCAAACAGCTGCAGGGAATTAGTGTTGGGCCTTAATGCAATTGATCATCAGAAACTATTTATTACTACACTTATCATCATTACATGTTGTGCGATGTAATAACTAAGAAAGAAATAGCTCAGGAGATCAATGAAATTCTCTTTGGCTAGCTCTTCGAGACCAACTCTTTTCTTCATGTTTTGTCATTGCATGTTGTGCGGTGCAATAAATAATGAAGATTTACTTGGCTGCTCGAGAGAGAAAACCAAATGAAAAATGGCACCTTTTTGGCGCCTCTTTTTCTTTCAAATTTCCCCGCCAACCGAAATATCCATTCAAATCTTCCCGCAAATATTATTGCTTTCAATTTCTGTGACACTTAAAATTCGTCCAAAATATAATATTAAGATAGGTTATCCAATGTGATAACATAATTACTCGCTTATTTGCAATTATTCCTCAAATCAATTCTATTTTAATGCAAATCATGCGGTAAACCACTAATAAATGATAAGACATATATGCAAATACTCACTAAAATCTATGTGTATGCTCAAAACTAGAATAATACATCAACTTAGATATTGAAGATTCAGATCAACTAATAACTTATATCATCCAAGTCTGACTCTTGCATGGCTTAAACACGGCTCGAAACGGTACGACCAGGTTCAACAGTTTTCCTCAATAACAGGTTTCACCGCACAAAACTGAATTTTGGAGGGTAGCACACTAAAAAAAATTATTCCGATAAAATGGCTGTCAAAATACAATATTCTTTTACAATATACAATGAAAATAAATCAACGTTGGACCATAAAAAAATTCAAGTAAATATAAAGTCTCATCACACTTTTCAATGCTCGATTTTTAAAAACTGTTTAAAAATGGAGCTTATATTGAAATAGTGTAGAGACTAAAAATTACCACAGACTATTTCAGAGGATTGAGTTGCCACTCAATCCTCTGAAAAGTCTGAGGTAATTTGCAAAATTTTTCAATTTGAAAAATGGATTTTAGCTTATTTAGTCTAAGTATCTATTATATGTCGCAAAACTTGAAAGATTATTATAAAATAGATCCTATAAGATTTCTATGTGATTCAATGAATTGAATAGAATTTATTAATAAATTGAAACCATAATATGCGATATGAATTATTCATGTGGAATTTATTGGATATGGTTTCCTAAAAGCAATATATTTTAATGTCAAACTGCTTAAGGGTGGCTTCCGACCAAATTGTCACTTTTTAGCCCAAGTGAGAAAATTTCGTAATTTATAACCAAGTTTTTTTGTAATAAACAGAAATTCATCAAAAGTGACAGCTCTCAATTTTTTGACATTTGTAAATTCTAAATTGAATGAGAAAAATGAAATAATACTAAGCATAATACAATATTCTAGATTTAATTATAATTAGGAAAAAGTTAGTTTTGAGAGTACTTTTCATAGGCATATAGAATGAAATCTTCTGAAAAATAATATCACATAAACTCATATTATTTTCTAATATATAACTATTTTATATAAAAATCAAATTCAATGATCTTAAAAGCGAAGGATAAACCTCAAAATTTACGAATATAATGAGTGGGAATATAATGCTTATCTATCATAAAACCATATGAAATATCAATTTTTGCTTTACGCCTAATTTTTGACGACAATTAGCAAAAAATGTTAAATGTTAACACTCAGTCCATTTGAATATGAAAAATAAAATTGACTTTGATTAAATGTTTTTATTTATCATGCAATTCTTCTTGCGACCAAAGATTTGAATAAAAGTTCAAAAAATAAGATAGCTTAAAAAATAATATACGGTAGTGTTTACTAATAGATGAATAGTATATAAATTATATTAAAATGGATTTGATCCAAAAATATATAAAATTTGATCATAAATAAAATCGTTTTTAATTACTTCTTCATTTAAATTATAACAATTATTTTTGATTTTATATTTTTTGGATCAAATCCATTTTAATAGAATTTATATACTATTCATCTATTAGTAAACACTACCGTATATTATTTTTTAAGCTATCTTATTTTTTGAACTTTTATTCAAATCTTTGGTCGCAAGAAGAATTGCATGATAAATAAAAACATTTAATCAAAGTCAATTTTATTTTTCATATTCAAATGGACTGAGTGTTAACATTTAACATTTTTTGCTAATTGTCGTCAAAAATTAGGCGTAAAGCAAAAATTGATATTTCATATGGTTTTATGATAGATAAGCATTATATTCCCACTCATTATATTCGTAAATTTTGAGGTTTATCCTTCGCTTTTAAGATCATTGAATTTGATTTTTATATAAAATAGTTATATATTAGAAAATAATATGAGTTTATGTGATATTATTTTTCAGAAGATTTTGTGTTCTTCTTCAAAATTTTATTTTTTATTAAAAAGAATCTTTACAAAATATACATTTACTGTAATTAATATTTAAAAACGTGCTCTATCAAAAGTTCCAAAAATTCAATATTTTAGCTTTTCTGAGGTGTCACTTTTGATGAATTTCTGTTTACAACATTTTAAAATCTATATTTAATAAAGATTCTATTTTTCTTATTAAATTTCAAAAATGAGGGGGTTCGGAATCGTCCACAAATTGCCGAAAGGGTTTTTGCCAGTTTTGAATCCGCTTATTTTTATCGACCAAAATTATAATAAATATAATTTTCGATAAGTATTCTACCCAAATGATTCTTCAAAAAATTATTTTTCGGATTTTATTCCGTAAAAAAACGTTACAGAAAACGCCTAGAAAATTTCGAATTGTCCCTAAAAATTCACTGCAGGTCGATTTAAGAGATTTTTCAAAAATAATCATATCAGTAGATAGGGTATAATATAGAGGAGCTTTATGAATAACTCAAAATCCGGGAAACTCAATATTCAACGAGAAAAACGCTTAACGAATCTCACTTTTGGTGTAAACATCACAAAAAATTGAGAGAGCTTTCTGGTCGGAAGCCTCCCTTAACGAAATATATAACCGTTATTATCATAATAACATCAATCCTTATGGTGAAACTATATTCCTCAAAAACAACAAAATTTGAAAGTGGATGTATTCAATCCTAAAAGTTTTTCATCGGCGTTGAGAAGAGAAATTCAATACTACATAGAAAGTTCTCAAATATTCAATAAATATTTGTATTTTTTCTCAATGTAATATGTGCGTTCTGGTTAATCTAGTAAAACTAAAAAATTAAATTTTTCAATGATATTTTTTCTAATATTTTAAAAGTTTATTTTCGGGATTTTAATGGATAGATTACTTCCAAATGGTAGAGCACCTAGAGAAGAAGGAGGTCTTCGAACCAAATTTAGTGAGCGAGAGGATTTGAAGCTCTTAAAGTTGGTTTCGGAATCAGGAAAATCTCCAAATTGGAGAGAAATCAGCAATATCATGCAAACAAGAACGCCAAGGCAGTGCAGAGAACGATATCAAAATTATTTATGCCCGAGAATTAATCACCACGAATGGACGCCTGAAGAAGATCAAATTCTTTTACATCAATATCAAATCCACGGACCTAAATGGAATACAATTGCGAAGCAACTAAAGGGCAGAACAGGTAATATGATAAGAAATCGCTGGCAAAGCTTACTTAGGCAAGATCAGAAAAAGCCAACGCAGGATTCCGTTTCAGTTCAAACTGAAGAACCTGTTAACGAAAAGAAGCCTACAAAAGCAGATCTTGCAATTGAGGTCGCGAGTGCAAATCCTTTCGATCGTCTATTCCAGATGATTGGCAACTCAATTTTCGACGAAGAATCATTTATGTCTGCATTAATAGGTAATGACAATTCTTAATTTTGAGGATTGATGCTTATTACTTCGTTATTGGATGTTATTAATTGTTTTTTTTATCTTTCTTTGTTTTTCTTTTAATGATAATAAACAAGCTCATTGTTATCCATAACAAAGTTCAAAAATACAATAATAAAGTTCATTGGTTTCGAGTATTATTAGCAATATTATCCCTCTTAATTTATTAATTTTAAAGGGCATCGGAGCTAACTAGTATGCATTTATATAATTATGGCTATACTAATATAATTATGAAAAAGCTTTCCTCTCAATAAATTTATTGAAGAGGCAAAATTATCAAAAACTTATTAAATGATCGATAATCGTGCACTAATTATGATGTACGATATAACTTTTAAATAGAATCTGTCGTTCGGTGGATCATTGGAAAGCAAAATAGTAATATTTACGCTAAATGTTACTATTTCTGGAGTGCAGCTTTGTGTCACATATCTATACGGTATCGATATGATATTATGCATTCAATTGCTACTGTATATCTGATTTTTCAAATAGATAGATTTGAAAAATTTGAAGTGTTAAGTTTTGAATGATGGTGTCTATATTGTATCGATTTTCGGACGAGTAAAGAAACAGAGCTTAAGAGTAACGAATAAAAGGATGATATATAGAATGAAAGCAATTGATGAAAATAAAATTCCTAGCCATTCAAGTGTTTCCATCTCTCCTTGAACTACGAAGAATTGCGCTTTCAATATCATTCCAAGTATCTCCAAAAACATGGAAATCAAAAACTAAAGTAGTTTTTTGTAAATTGAGCAAATTACTTTACGTAAATTTTTCTTTCGTTCTTAGTGACGATTGACGCCGCACCAAAACCTAATTTGTTAGGGTGGCATCTATTTCATGACCTAACCGATCGAATCTATGGCTCCGTTTTTAAGGATAACTAATATTAGTAAATCGAAATTATTTTATTCACATGAAAGTTATAATTTTAATGATCGTACGAATAAGACATGAAATATATACCGTTACTAAAAGTCAATAAACCCCAAATACAAGTGACAATCACTTCCAATTTTTTATCATTCTCTTAAACTAAAAATTATCATAAACGCTCACATTAATTGTAAAGTTTATCTCTTATATTTGCTATAAATTTACAGATATTGTCAACGTGTTATATATTGTTTACTGTAATATTTACACCACTAACTATAGACTTCAAACACTTGTAAAACGCTTTGTAACTCATGAATGTGATTAATGATTTTCTTAAGATATTACATATTCTAATGATATTTTTAAGGAAATATATTTTCTATCGAATTTTTCAATAAAACATCATTCATTCACCTCATAATATGTTTTAGAACTTTTATATGAGTCATTTTTCCTCCCCAAAAAATTCGAATAATCATATTTCATTTGCAAAAAATATAATTTGAACTTCATTTTTTAATTTTAATGAAAATTTTAGAGGTAAAACATGAATTCTAAATAAGAAAAACACAATAAAAATGAAATCAATTGATATTTCATGTAGAAACAAACATTGTTTTTGAATTTTTTAAGAAATATTTATCTAAAAATCCTTAAACTTAGAGCATGTTAAAGAAAATTCAATTCCATGCATGCATTGTAATAAAATAATTTGATATATATTGCATTTTCATCCTGAATGAATAAAAAATCAATTTGATTTGGGTTATATTCTTTATAGACAAGGTTAAAATAAGCATTGTTAGAACAATAATTCTATACTCATATAATGTGCAGTCATAGAATATGTTAAATATGGATATTCTATATCAAAGCAAATTGTTTCTAAGAGAAGTAATTGTTGATAACAAAATTAAAGTTGTATTTATTATTAACATCTCACGTTTATATCATTTATGATCATGCTGTCTCTTTATCTTTGATTATTTTTTGAATTGATATGTTGATTGAATGGAATCTAATCTTATAGCATACCAGATTAAGTGTTAAGTCAATAGGAATACCCTTAACTATCTTAAGTTTTTGATGATTGATGCTGATTATATATTTATTTGTCCGTGTATTTATTCAATTCAATTCAATAATTTCAATTTTTACGGACAATTTATTAAATGAACATAAAAAAAATGAACATTCGATAAAACGAGAAACCAAATGAGGGATCCATCATCAAAGGTACATTCACGAAAAGTGACACCCCTCTTCTTTTTTCCTAGGGTTACTGATCGCTTTCTTTCTGCTCGCCATGCCAGAAATGAAAGAAATGATTGATGCAGAATAATTTATTACTCCAATTGGCAACTATCTTGTAATATACAATTAGTTGCATTGTCAGTTATTCTCCAGCATTATTCAATTTAAGTTCAACTTCTTTAATTTAAATCATATTGCAGCTATACCCTCGCGTTGAGATAAGAACAAGATTACACATGCTAAAATCCCACATTAAAAATCGAAATTTTGCAACTCCAAAATGCAACGACAGAATTCCTCGTAATTTTGGTTTTTTACTTACCTTATGATATATATTCAAATGACTTGAATATAGAAAAAGTTACTAAGATTTGAGGAAAATTTTGCAATAAGAAATTAAAAATCGGTTTTATTATATAAGTTACTTATGAATTAAAATTACCTCTATAATTAGTGTACAGTTCCTCACATAATCTTTGGATATTTCTGATTTCAAATTTATACATTTTGATGGAATATTCATAACTCAAATCTAGATGATAGTTACTACATTTATGCGAATACAGTACGTATCCATTCATCTATTTACTTGTTGTTGTTGAAATAAAAACGTTATTATTTTACTATCTTAAAATAAGAATTTTGTTATAGTATTAATATTTTCATCAACAATGATGACATTAAATCAACTCTTAAATGACATTATATCAAATATGATATCAAAATCAAAAATTAGGTGTTTTTTATGAGAAAAAAGGTGTTAATTTGACAATTTGGCTAATTATACAATACTTTTATTTTCCAAATTTTTTTTGAAATTAATTTTTTCGAGAGAAAAATTAAATTTTTGATTTTCATTTTTGAATTTTTGAATTTTTTTTGGAATTTTGAATTGATCAATTAAGCAGAATGAGTTATGGGAATGCTTTATACATCTCACAATGTGATGAATTAAAGACGAATCTTAAAAAATTATTTAAAATCACAAATATCATCCTTATTCTCATTTGTTTCAAAAAAGATAGTACTAAGTATTGATAAACCATGATCTATATTAGTAAAATACTTGAATAAAAAGTGTAAAAGTAGAGTTTTTATTCATTTTTATATTAGATTTAAACGAAAACCTGTTTCATATTAATATCCTAGTCGAGAGATGAGATTTTATTCGTATTTGTTAGCATTCAGTAGACATTCTAATCTTGAATTTTAAATTTTACTTAAAATTATTAATAAATGTGAGGTTTTGCTTCGATTTCTGATTAATTTGATTAAATTGTCTCGACATGCATCTTGAATAATATCGTTTCTTGAGGAACTCCAAGATTTTCAAGAGACTTCTTGCGATTTTTGATAAATGATAAGAACTCTCATTTACGAAAAAAGGTTTATTGAATATAAAATATTTCTGTAATGACTCATTTTCATTATACTATTTCCAGTCAAATCCTCAAAAGTTAATATTCAAATCTCTTATTTAGCTGAGAAACTGGATACTACATAATGGATCATATTCATGTAAGCTGGAAATGGTATAGTTACATTCAAAAGCTCCAATAATACTTCAATTTAGAATACAGAATATGAATATTGATTTTTACTTCTATTTGAAATTACATTTGATATATAAATCATAATTTGATGATTATTTGATAAAAATTAGGGAAATTAAAATATAATTCACAAATCTTTTTATTATCTTAATAACTTTTCAAAATAAGATCATATTATTCATATTTGGAGCCTACTGATTCTAAGTATCCTATTTATTTGAAAATCTATCGTTGGGAAGTCTCGTGCATGTACCTTTCCATCATCTAAGGGTTTCGTTTTGCGAAAAAAACGTACAATACGCAATTTCGCTAAAAAAACATTTAGCTAGCAATTTCGACCTTTGACTCCACTCAAGACGTCACTTTTTTAATTTTGCGGTATCATATTTTTGGAAAATCTTTATGAATATTATATAAAAAGTCTCTTTAATATCTATATTTCATATTTTTATCGATTTTTAAAGTTTTTGCGAAAAGTATTCAATTATTTTTGCTATTTGGTCGTGTAAATGTCAGATTTGCGACATTTTCTGATATGATATTCAGATTCTACGTTGATAATAATGCTTATAGAACCCTCTTGCTATTGTGTCAAAATTGCGAAACCGATAGCAAAAATATCTCGCAATATCAAAATTGAGATATTGAGTGAATTATGCATTATAGAGATTAAAAATCTGATTTGTGAAAACATCTCATCAGTTTCTAGCTAATTCAAAAATCTTTACTATCTTATTCGATTAAAATGAAAAGGGAATAGTTTCATTATGCTTTAAATGACAGCCTTATAATATAATCATAGTTTTCGCTCAATATGCAGCATTTTTTTTTCGAAATCTATGGTCAATATCCTAAATACTGATTGCTTTGCATTCATATCTCTTACATTTTCTATACCCACATCAATATTCATTGCTATTCCTATCTTTTTCATTTTTGTTTGTTTCTCATAATTTCTCAAAAAACATGATAACTTGATATTTGTAAATATCATACTTTATAACGTAAATAAGAACTTGACCTATTAAGAAAAGCAGTAATGAAAAGAAAATCTGAAATTCATAAAAATTACAAGTTTCTGATGACAATTAGCTTAATTAAACCAGGTACAAGATTATATAATTGTATTTTCTATCCAATTATCCATATAATATCTTATCCAGAAAAAATAACTTGATCAATACCAAATGATTTTTTAACTAGTAAATAAAGTATTTTCTTTACACACACATTGTATATCATAGTTTTTTTTTTTTTTGGTTTCGCAAAACATCCAAAAACAAATATGCTATAAAAGTGACAATTTTAGCAAAACGAAACCCTTACATCATCTAAACATAGCCAGTAATATTAATTCAAAACATGGCCATCATTTCGAAAGAAGCAATTGATTATCTGAAAATGTCTTTTCAAAATTTGAGAAAAAAAAATGAATCAGCTAAAATTTATTTTTACAAAGACATTTTAGATAATGTTAGACAACATTAAGGCAGTCATTTTCGATCTTGATGGAACACTTGTTGACTCAATGAACGTCTGGAAGGAGATTGACAATGAGTTAATTGGAAGCTGCGGTGTTGAAGTTCCGAAAGATTTCCAGAAGTCAATTGAAGGAATGGGATTCAAAGAAACAATGCAGTACATCATTGACCGCTTTGATTTTAAGATGACTGTTGAAGAAATGTCGGCAGAAGTGAACAGATTGGCATTAATACAATATTCTACAAAAATCCCACTTAAAGATGGAGCCTACGATTTCTTAAAGTACCTTCATGAACATGATATTAAGACAGGCATCGCAACAAGTAATGGTAAAGATATTCTTCAATGCTGCTTGGCCCACCACCAAATCGGACAATTATTTGATGTTACAAAGATTGCTTGCGAAGTAAATCGTGGAAAGCCATTCCCAGACATTTATTTAGCTGTTGCAAGTGAACTCGAAGTTAAACCAGAAGAATGCTTAGTTTTTGAGGATATCCCAAACGGAATTACTGCAGGAAAATCTGCTGGAATGAAAGTTTGCGCAATTTATGATAAATATTCAGAAGATAGAACAGAGACAATCAAGAGTTTGGCCGATTATTACTTCACATCATTTTCACAAGTTACATCAAATCAGTTTGAAGTTCTTTCACATTAATTTATTTCATTAAACACTTTTTATACTATTTTTATGTTAATACCTAATAAAGATCTTATGTGTTATAAACATGTTGTATATTATTTCTTGCTTTTATTTTAAATCATATTTTTTTTTGTTAATTTAAGGTCATATAGTTTCATATACTATATTAAATAATCAATATTAGCATACTGTAATGAATCAAATACATTGTAAATCATAGTCAAAGAAATTATTGGAATATCAAAATAATAGTATATCACAAATATGATAGATATGGACCAATAACACAAATATTTGGCCGTTATACCTCAAAATGCATTAATATGCGATTCCATCAAAAATATTTAGAGATATCGATTTATCTTCATGTCGATCATAAATATCATCCAAAGTATATGCAATTTTACTAATTTATTATCAAGATTAGGATTTTAATCTCAAAAAGTGAAATTAATAAGAAAATATGCATTTATTAATATCCGTGATATATGAAAAGAATTTCTTACTAGAGCTGACAGGAGTAGGGGTAATTTTAGCTAAAAGTAACACGCCTGTAAAAAGTGACACACCCGTGAAGGGTGTGATTACCGATCGGTAATTTCGACAGTTTAGAATTTAAAATTTTTTATGGAACTGTTGCGAGTTTCATAAAGAATTTAAGGAATATAAGCAAAGATTTGAATCAAAATCTTAGACCTAAGCCGCTCGATTCGCTCGCGGCTTCCGCGAATTACAGATCAGCAAAGATTTGAATCAAAATCTTCGAACTAAGCCGATCGCTTCGCTCGCGGCTTTCTTTATTATTTTAAATTTGCATATTTCCATCAAAAGTTCATAAGGTAAAAAATTTCGTTTATTTTTACTAAGAAAAAAAAAGGTTTTTGATAATAAATTTATTTTATTTCGAAAAAGTAGCAATAATCGTAAAAGGGTATTGATAGGCTTGCTAAAGTAACTAATTTTAGCTGTCAAATACTTTTGTATTTTGAAGTAAATTAGTATAAATTTGTTTTTACTTTTATTTCGAAAAAGTAACAATAATCGTAAAAGGGTATTGATAGGCTTGCTAAAGTAACTAATTTTAGCTGTCAAATACTTTTGTATTTTGAAGTAAATTAGTATAAATTTGATATTATTTTAACTCCCTTTGAAAACCTCAATTTTCCATACAGAGGGAACGGGAATAGCATCCAATATTCCCTGAGAATGGTTGCGCATTCTCAGTTCCCTCTATATTTCGAACGAAGCTCTCATCGGTCTTTTTTTTTAATACTAAACGTTTTTTCCCCTGTCACTTTTAGCTAAAATTTGGGTTTGCCGAGCTGACAGTTTATTGCCACCTGACGGTTGAAATTTACATTCAATTCAAACCACAGAAATAGCTTATGGATGCAACTAATAATCTTGTCGTAAAAACCGGATGGCTCACCAAACAAGGCGGCTTCATAAAATCCTGGAGAAAGAGATGGTTTGTTTTATTAGGACGAACTCTCTATTATTATACTGAACCTGGTAAAAAAGAGTCAGGCCGTATTTTCGTAGATCAAGCCACAGCAGTAGAAAAAGCCCCAGAAGTTTCCCGTCAACCAGCATTCAAAATTGTCGTTCCAAGACAGAGAACTTATTATATTGTTGGCGACAAACAAGAAGAAGTTGATGAATGGATATCGACGCTACAGATTGCCATGAAAGGTGCTAAACCACCGGACCCAACTCATATTAGTGAAGATGATTTCCAAATTTTGAGCGTTCTTGGCAGAGGTACCTATGGCAAAGTTCAGCTTGTCAAGTACAAGAAGACCGGTCAGATTTTCGCCATGAAATCCATGTCAAAGAGACTTCTTGAAGAATTCGATCAAATCGAACAAATTTTAACAGAAAAGAACGTCCTTCTCAAATCTACATTCCCATTCCTCGTTTCAGCCCACTTTACATTCCAAAACGAAGACAAGATCTTCATGGTTATCGATTACGTTCCTGGCGGCGAATTATTCTCCCGCCTTAAAGAAGAGCAGAAGTTCAGCGAGAATCGCGCCAGGCTTTACGCTGCTGAAATTGCCCTTGGTCTTGGACATCTCCATAGCCTCGGATTCGTTTATCGCGATCTTAAGCCAGAAAATATTTTGGTGGATGAAAACGGTCATCTTAAAATCACAGATTTCGGTCTTGCAAAGGGCAAGATGGGAACAAACACAACTACATCAACGTTCTGCGGCACTCCGGAGTATATTGCTCCAGAAATTCTTCAACAATTTCCATATACAAAAGCCGTTGACTGGTGGAGCTTCGGCATTCTCCTCTTCGAGATGCTCACAGGTCTCCCGCCTTTCTACGACGAAAACATGACAAAGATGTATCGTTCAATTATTAACGACCCAATTTCATATCCGCCATATCTTTCACCAAACGCATGCAGCTTACTCTCAAAGCTTCTCGAAAGAGATCCAAATCTACGTCTCGGAGGTGGAGATAGAGATTTTGAGGAGATTAAGGAACATCCATTCTTCGCATCACTCGACTGGGACGACGTAATTGCTAGAAAGACTACACCAGAGTGGATTCCACCGCTTACATCCGTTTCCGACGTTTCTCATTTCGATCAACAATTTACTACAGAAAGTATCGCTGCTTCTATTGAAACAGGACCATCCCTCAGTAATGAAACACAGAAAGTTTTCGTTGGATTTACATGCGTTGATGAATCTAAATTATCATTGCAATAAGTTCAGTATTTGTTCACCACTAAAGTATAAGTTTTCATATATGAATAATATTTAAAGCTTAGTTAGTACAGGAAATATCTTATTTTTTTGAATCAGACTTTTTCTGACAGGCAAATTTATTCAATTTTAAAAATTTTACGAACGGTTTGAGTTTTGTAAATTCGGAGGTTAGATTCTCATTATCCGAAATATCATTGCTAACTTTCGAGTACTCTTGCTGCCAATACAATCGTAAGCTGTTTTTCAATGTAAATGAATGTTTATCTTGAGTTTGATGCATCGAACATTCTTTTTACGGACTTTATTCGTGCTCTTAATCAATGAAATTTCTCCACTTTTTCATACATTTTGAAATTTTGTATTAATAAGATCCGAATAGCAATAAAAAAAGTAATTGTTCTGAAATTTTTGCAATTATACGCTGTAACAATTCGGATGATATAAACAATATGTAATTTTGCAATTAGTGTGCAGTTTTTGTTTGATAATAATGTGAATTAACTGAAATAAAAACATTTTAATTACTAAATTTATCATAATAATTTAAAACAGAATAAAACATACAGTCGAGCCCAATCAATGATTCAAAGTTCTTGCCGATTTAGGTGGCTTTCGTGTATAAATTTTCATATTCAACAGAGCTCTCTGCCTGAATGAAGCAGGGCCATTTTCATTCTTAGCAGGCATTTTAATTGGTGGAAGACATGATCTTGCTGTTGCCGGAGGACTTGGGTTTGCATTGTTTGCAACTTGCTGGATAGGAGCAATAAACATCTCAGTTTTCTCGTATAACTTCTTGAGAGTTTCCAATTTATGCTGAGCTGCATTTAATTCATTATCCATATTTCTAATTAAATTCAATTCATCGCGTTTTAAGTTTGCTTCTCTGATTTTGTATATTTGGTCATGCTTCTTTTCAAGATGTTGCAATGCATGGCGTGTTGATGCATCCCATTGCTGCTGAAAAGTGTTTTCTTCAGTAAATTCAAATTTATTTATCTCTGCACGCACTTCTGAAGCTTCAATGTATTTCTTGGCAGCAACAAGGCTTTCTTCACGTCTCTTAAGTTCAAGTAATGCTGGAGATACTTTTGGAATTGATCTTGGCCTTGATTTTTGAAGCTTTGAAGCAGCTCTATTGTATTCCTCTTCTTGTTCTTTAACAAGGTTAGTAAGATTTTCTTTACGAGCAGCGTAAAAATTATTGAGAACACGATTCCAACGAACTTTCATATCTTCGTATGATTCTTCTGCTTCAGCTACTTTCGCTTTAAGCTCTTCTGCTCGTTCTTGAGACATTTCAAGGGTAGCCGCTGCTTCAGACAGTTGAATTAACTGTTTGAGTTTGTCTGAATACATATCTGCAGTATCGAACTCTTGAATGTCGGTATAGTGATTACGTTTTTGGCGTAGAACTTCAATCAACTGTTGATATTGATCTGGATTGTATGTTTTGAAGGGATTTCCATCGATTAGATATTGAACTTCATCTTCTGCTTGCTCTTGTGTATATGGTTTTGGTTTCGGACGAGGAGCTCTTGTTAATGGTGCAAATTTTTGTGCCATCATTTGTCTTTCGGGGTATTTTTTCATATAATCTAAGATAAATTCTATCTTTTCAACTACTTTATCATCACCAGAGTCCATATATCTTCCTTTATACAGATTTAACGGATCAACAATGGCAGGATATAAGTTTGGATCAACAAGAAGTATATCCACACCATTTAGGAGACCACATACAACATCTCGAGGATCTGGGTGAGCCGCAAAGTCATAAAGATAATTAGACTTACGTGGTAAGTTCTTCTTAGATTTCATTTGAATTTTTTTCGTTACAAAAAAATAATGTGAATTACATTGAAGGTTACTGATCATACAATAAAATTACATTATGTTAATGCACTTGAAACACATTCGAATTTGCCTTCAACTCATTGAATTTGGTTCTGAAAGTTAGATCCAAGCCAAACAATAAAAACGGAGAAACATAAAGTAATCACTTAAAATAAGTAGGATGTAATGATTAGCATTTTTATTAATCAGGCATAATAACAAACAATTGAGTTTAAATATTATAGAATGTAACATGTGGCTTAACTTTTGGAACCTGCTCAAGTTCTTCTTTAGGAGCATTCTCATCTATGATTGATGAACGCCTCTTTTGAACTGGTTGAGGATTTGTAATTCGATTTTGAGCGGCAGGGGAAGCAATTTCGCGTGGAGTAGAATTGTTTGGCGAAGAAATTACTCGAGGTGAAGAAATTCCTGCTGTTTTCAAACGTTCAGCAACGGTTGGCGACTTTGGTTTATCACTTTTAATTTCCTTACATTGACAAGTGGCTCCTTTTGATCCGCATGCACATGTGAAGCCATTCCAGATGCCTTTGTCAACAAGTTTATGACCTTTATGACAAGTTTCTGCGCAAACATTGCAGATACCATCATATTCGCCCATGGCGCATGTAAGGCATACCCAGGCATGTTGAGCAGGAACGTTTGTACCAATTTTCAAATTTGAGCATAATGAATTTCTTAAAGAGCACTTGCATGGCGTCTTTCCACATTCAGCCCCACAGTCACAGTTAAAGTATTGGGTACCATGTACCGGAACAAGTGCATGACCAGCATGGCAAGTTTTTGCACAAGCTTCACAGCAGCCCAATTCATTAACAAGGCCGCAGGTTCTGCAATGATACATTTTCTGTTCGCATCCGCGTGAGCCTTTAACAAAAGTACATTTTGTCTGTGATAGCATTCTAAAAAGTGACAAATAAAATAAAACTCGAGTAACGTTTCCTAATCAGCAAAATCTGAATTATGTGATTTTTACTCCATAGGATAAACATGCTATGCACTACAATGCCGTCCATATACATATGCTTGGAATCGAAAATAATATCTGGTCATGATTTGAAGCCATGACCGAATTAATTAATATAATTCAACTCATAGGGCTATACACAAACTTTGATTGAGTGTAACTCATTTTAGAGATTAATATGTTTCAAGTTAAATAAAATACAACAAATTGATTTCCAACAACTATACATAGATTTAGTTCAGTCAATAAGAATGAATTTTATAGGTATTTAAGATATTTTATAGTAATAACAGTATATTTAGTACAAAAAAACAATGAAAATCGATATATATATAATAAGTATTGATTAAGGTAGAACATAGTTATACATGATTTGGCAAATTTGCCTCTGGATATTCAATAAAAAATAAATTGAGAATTATCTGAATTAAATCATAAAAATTATCCTAAAAGACCATTCAACCATGCATCCAAATCTTTTGGTTCTTCCTTCTTTTGCACAACAGGCTTTTCTGCTACAGGAGTTGGTACAATTTTTTCTTCAGGAGGTTCATCTTCCATTGGAGGTACAGGGACCAAAAAATTGGTTTCCATTTGCTCTTGTAGAGAAAGCTTTGAAAGTTTTTCGGCTATCTTGTTTAAATCTTCTTCAGAAAAAGAAACTTCTTTATTTGAAACTGGAAGTGGAAGTTGTTTAGAGCATGCATCAATTGTTGCCTTCAGAAGTTCATCTTGTGAATCATTTTCTTCAAGTTGTCTCAGTCTCCATTCATTAGATTCTAATTGAGGGGCTTGACGATTACCACCTCTTCCTCCACGGCCTCCACGACCTCCACGGCCGCGATGATGTGCTGTTTTGACTCTTGGTGGAGCTTCTTTTCTAACCATTGTCTAAAAATATAAGTCAAAAAGTGACTTTGTCTTTTTTTTTTCATTTCACTATGAGTTCTGGAAAGGGTTATATTGCATTCAGGCTACGTCCTGGTGAAGATTTATACACATCAATACAAGAACAAGCTGTTAAAAATGGTTGTAATGCTTGCGCTATTGTTACTTGCGTTGGTTCCTTAAAAGAATGCCATGTAAGATTAGCTGGAGCAACAGCAACAGATCAAGTCATTGTCCCTATCCCTGGACCGCTAGAAATCGTATCATTAACAGGAACAATAAGCCAAGGAAAGGCTCACATTCATATTTCAGTTTCTGATAATAAAGGACAAGTTTTCGGAGGACATTTAGTTAAAGGGTCTCTAATAGAAACTACTGCTGAAATTGTTCTTGTAAATTTAAATAATTTTGGAATCCAATTCACACGAGAATTCGATCAGGCCACAGGATTTAACGAGCTTGTTGTGAAATATGATAATTAATTATACTTTCTTTATATGTTTCTGTTCTATTTTAAAATAAATTGTTATATTTTAACTTTTATTGCTACAATATGAGAAATTCTTGGCTAAAAGATCTTAGTTATTAATGTACCATCAAATATTTTTATTATAAAACATTGTAGCGCGGTTAATGTAAATTGTATCTGAAAAATTTTCTTTTTTGGAGAAAGACACCGTTGAATCCCAAATATTCATCCTGTACAGTGCGTCTATATTTACATTGTTGCATGCTAAGTTCGGTCAACGATAGAAATTGAGTGGAAATTAATCGTCGAGGAAGTACGATTATGTAAAGTAAAAAATGTTGTGGGATTTTTAATATTATATATTATTTTATAATAAAATTTTTTTGAGTCATTTTAAGAAGCACATATAATTTTTTGAATTTAAAAATTAAAGTAGTGTCAAACGAATTTATCACTTAATTTAATACTCAGATTTCTTAAAATTAATGAAAAAAAGGTTTTCTGAGAACTTTTGAGAATGGTTTTCAAATTCCATTATTGAAAATATATAGGTATTGTATGAAATTCAAACTCTATATTTATTAAAATTCTAAATTTTTAATAAAATAACTTTTCAGAGGAATATGATTTTGAATGGTTGATTAATAAGTATAAAAATGTCTACGATTTTAAGGAGGGAATTGTTCCTTATGAGGTATACATCATAACTATATACCTCATAAGGAACAATTCTCTCTTGATAGCTGGGAAACTTTCTCTGAATAACTTATCATTTGGAGAAAGTTTCCCAGCTATCTATTAGAAACTAAAGGCTGTGAGGCACTAATATATAATCAGTGCCTCATAGCCTTTAGTTTGTTATTAAAAACGAGAAAACTTGTTCGAAATGATAAACAATTTCGAACAAGTTTTCTCGTTTTAAGGAGGGAATTGTTCCTTATGAGGTATACATCATAACTATATACCTCATAAGGAACAATTCCCTCTTGATATCCTGGATATTTTTGAATATATTTTTTTAATTAAAGTTCTCAAAAGTATTATCAAAAGTGATTTTTTAAAAATATCTCCAATTAATTAACTAATTAAAAGTATTATATTTTTAAAATTAAATAGTTTTTCAATTTTTTTGAAGGAATTGAGATACTTCCCACGACAATAAAATTGAGAGGTTTACATTATGACTGATCTTAGCATGCAACAACATTAACCTCGTAATTGATAACTTTTTTTGTCAAATCTTTCCATATTTCAAGGTTATAATTTATTTTACTGTTTTATTATCACTTCATATTGAATGGATTATAAACTAAATCGATGAACGACAAAACTTATATCGCTCTCAATTTTTTCAAATTTTGATAGGATTAGAACGATTAAACAATTCAGAAATATGCTGGACTGGTTACAAGCCTTTCAGATATATGCTGCCGTATGGATTATTATCTTCATAGGCCTTCTTTGCGGTGGTTTGAAGATCTTTACTCCAAAGGATGTTTATTCAATTCGTAGATTAGTTTATTTAGTACCGATGGCTGCAATGCTTTTCCGCGAAATAGGTAATAGTAAGCTTAAGAAAGACACATGGATGTCTTTTCTCCAAGCTGTTTTAGTTCAAGGCGTTTTACACATCATATCTTTAGTTTATGCTTTCATTTATCATCCTGACGAATCCGTTTCCATGAAATTCCTTAAGAATGCGATGTCTTTATGCCAAACAGACTTCTTATACTATGCAGTTCCAATTTCTCAAATCTTATTTACACCATCTATCGCTGCTCACGCTGCATTAGCATGTTTCCTTCAATACCTTTGCATAGTCCCACTCCATGAGATACTTGCACTCACATTTATTCCAGACTGTGAAAAGAAAATGAATACGAAACATGAACCACAAGATCCAGTACCTCCTCTTGAGCCAAAAGAAGTTCCAAATGCAGACCAAGAAGAAGAGGAGGAAATGGCTGATGTTTCTTCAACAGGAGAAGTAGAAGTTATTGATGAAAACGGAAATCCTCATATTGTTAAAGTACAAGAAGATGAGCTCGAAGAAGATCATCATGAAGATCAAAGCCAAAGCTACAGCAAGCCAAACGAAGCAAACAATTCCGATAATCAAAATAAAGAATCAAATACACCAACAGACACGCCAAAAGAAGAGGAACCACAAGAAACAAAGCAAGAACCACCTCCACCAGATGTTCCTACTGATAAACCAGCCCAAAAACCTGCAAAATACTGGTCAAAGAATTGGCTTATTTTCTGGGCTTTTGTCAACCAATTTACCATCTGTGGAATTCTCGGAATCATTTGGAGCGCGATCGGAATCTCAATGCCAAAGTTTTTGGAGGGATTAGTTACAGATCTCGAAAAAGCCATCTTCGCAGCTGGTTTATTCTGCAATGGTGTCGTTATCTGGAACCATTCCTTCAAGAATGCTCCAGTTTTGGACGTAATTGTTGCTGTATTATGCCATTTCTTCGTAGAACCAGCACTTTCTTGGGGATTTTCCGCATTAATTGGTCAGGACAAGGATGTTACAAAGTTCCTTATCTTGTCAAATGCAGCTCCTGTCGCAATGTACGCTTATCACCTCTCATTAACCTTCGAACTTGGAGAATCAATGATTTCTTATAGCTTGTATTGGACATCCGTACTAACTCTCCCTGTTTATCTCATTTGGACGGCAATTATTAATTATGCACCTTATTTTAAATAATATATCTTATTTAATTGTTATTTCTTATGCTTTTGTTTTATTTACAATAACTAAAAGCGAATAATAAACCATCAAATTATATTTTTTTAAATTTTTTACTTTTTTATTAACTTCTGTTCTTAAAATAGCATTATATCGATTTAGACATTATTTCTCTTATTGATTTTCTCTCATATTTTTAGAAAGTTTTCTATTTCAAGTATTCTTTTCTCATTACACTTTAAGCAGAACAAAAATTCAAGTGTAAGAACAGCATTTTACGGATATTTATTGGTATTGATAGCTATTATTGTTCATATACCAATATTACGAAATTTTCGTTATCCAAAAGTCGAAGAAGACTTATTTTTCAGGCCATTTCCAACAAATTTGTTTAACACTTTCAATGAGATGTATGATATTCAAGAAATTTCCTATGAAAGATGCAAGAAATGTAGATATAAAATTCGAAATACACATTCTAGTAGCACTCCACGCGATGTTATAATAGCATGCTCAATAGGATATCCTATAAATCTTGAAATATTCGTTAGAACACTTAGACACTCCGGAAGTAAAGCAAAATGTATTTTTCTAGTTGACAGCTACTCATACAACTTTATCACAGATGAAATTTACGATAGTGTATATGAATGTGGTGGTCAAATCATACCATGCGGCTATATTTCTGAAATGACAAAAAGTGAAAAACAAAATTATATTTATATCATCTGCTACGAGTTCATTATGGCGAATTTTGATAAAATAGATAGAGTTATTATAGCAGATATGTATGATACAGCGTTTCAAGGAGATCCATTTAATTATCAAATGGAAGATGACAAATTAAAGATTGTTGATGAATATTCGAACTTTACTACAGAGCCAGGAATGACCAACAAAATTTGGATACATAATTTTGATCCAAAACTTGAAATTAAAGACGAAGAAATTTATTTCTGCACAGGATTCATTGGAGGAAAAGTAACAATTGTTTACAGATTTCTCACATTGTTTCTTGAGTACATGAAGATGGGAGATGAGTTCAAAGACCAAGGTTTGTTTAATTATCTTTATTTCTCAGGAAAATTGAGAAAATATGGAATAGAAGTTTCTCCAAAACGAACAGATGAATTTATAAGACACACTGCTGGTCTACAACTTGGAACATTTACAAAAATAGGAAAAGTTAAAACATATGACAAAAAAACATACGCATCTGTAGTTCACCATTATTATTTGAATCCAGGATTCGTGGATTCAATATTCTCTCACTGTCCAAATATTAGTTATGATAATTTGTTTGATATTTATCCAAATGAATAAACAAGTATATCATGTTAGTTTTTCTTCAAAAATTGAAATTTCGAACAAGAAGTCGAGATATTTCTTGGCCATATGAGAGCCGGTTTATGCAAATAAACATCAAAACTGGGATATAATGATTAAATATTATTACATCAATTAGTTTAAGCTGTCGAATGGAATATGCAGTGATTCAAAGATTTCAATGATTGGACACTTTTTCTAAATTATTGTAACTATTTTTTTTGTGAAAAATTTTATCATTTTCATGAGTGGATTTCATTATGACCTACTTATGGATTCTTTGAAAGAACACAATGATATTTTGTGTAGATTATTTAGACTACGAACATCAAGTAACAGCGATATCGACGCATTTTTCAAAGAAAATAATAATCACATATCGAAATACATTGATCGATATATTAAGTCTTATTTGATTTTAATGACAAAGTATATTCAAAAACATCGGTGTTATAATTTAGAAAAGGGTGAATCATTGGATGAACACATTTTTCAGAAATATTTTGGATTAGGATTAACTGAATCAAATCAATTAAAAATCAGTCACTTATTGATGATGATGTGAAGCTACATCGAAATTTAATCTTCACATTCAATGGAAATATATATGGATATCCTTTAAATTATAGAATAAAATAGCTTTTTTTCTTTAATACATTCATTCAACAAATTTATGCCACTCTAATATATCAAATTTCGGTCATTTCACAAATTCTACTTTTTATAGAAAAATATAATCATAATCATATACTTATATTTTTCACATGTGAACTAAGATTTGTTTATATGAAAATTTCAATTTTATTCGAAAATTATTCATTGTGAGCCTGGATTTATTGTTTGTACTTCCTTAACATAGCTTTTAAAATAAGAATATCGATTTCAGAATAACCCAGAGTTCCGCAAATTTTTCTTAATCGGAATTTGCACCATGTGAAATAAGAAGTTCGACTGTTTCTTTACTATTATATTCTGCTGCAATACTAAGAGCTGTTTCTCCTCTTTTATCTTTTTCATTGATATTTGCACCATGTGAAATAAGAAATTCGACTATTTCTTTACGATTATTTTTTCTTACTGCGCAATGAAGAGCAGTTCTACCAATGTTATTTTTTTCATTGATAATTGCACCATGTGAAAGGAGAGATTCGACTATTTCTTTTTTATTATTAAATGCCGCAATATGAAGAGCAGTGTATCCATCTTTATCTTTTTCATTGATATTTGCACCATTCGAAAGAAGAAGTTCGGTTATTTCTTTACAATTATTTTTTCTTATTGCAAAATGGAGAGCAGTTTCTCCTCTTTTATCTTTTTCATTGATATTTACACCATGTGAAATAAGAAGTTCGAATATTTCTTTCTTTTTATTAAGTACCGCAATATGAAGAGCGTTTTTTCCATTTATATCTTTTTCATTGATATTCGCACCATGTGAAAGGAAATATTCGCAAAGTGATGGAATACAGAACCTCACAGAATTAATAAAGCATTTGTTAACATCATTAGTTAGATCGAAATAAACTAACAATAATTCAAGATTATTGTATTCAACGCAATAATCTAAATCAAGCCATGGATTGTATTCGTTCATCAAGAATGTAACAAAATCAATGTTGTGTGAAATAATTGCGTATCCCAAGCAATTTACTTCTGGTTTTTTATATTTCAAACATTCACTCATGATCTCTGGATTTCCTCCTAAAAATGAAAATAGCAGACATTTTTGGGTTATTTCTGACTTAAATTCTGTCCTTAAAAACTTGAAACAATCGACAGCTCCGTAGTAACAACATAGTTCAAGTAGTGAATTACTATCATGAGAAATTGGATATAAACTGCTTTCAAACTTTTGATTTTTATCAAATCCATCACTTTCAGTGAATGATATGAATGTTTTTAGGTTATTGTCCATGATTGCTTTGTAAATTGTATGAATTTCCAGATTCTCTAATGAAATTTTTGTGAAATCCGAATTCTTGCTTAGTATAATTCCATATTCTTTATAAAACAAGTAGTTAGAAACATTTGGAACATCTATAACTTCTTTTACTTGATAATCATCTGATAATTGTTTCGCAAGTTTCAAGTATGACTTTGTATAGCTGTTTCTAAACGAAATAATACTTAAAATATCTTTCACAACTTTAGAAGGATAACATTTATTGGAATCAATCAAATCTGATTTGATCATTGTGTAAATTGTGTTTAATTCTTTTTCGTTATTTGTTTTTAACTGATACAATACATTGTAGCAATCGATATAGTATCTGCCGATACTTCTCAATTCACTATATTTATTTGGAAGAATGTCTTGCTCGGACATCAAAAATTTTTGAATTTTATTTTCTGAACATTCAAATATGATATTCTTGGAATTTTATGTATTTTTAATAAATTAGGAAGAAAAGGACATGTTGTTCGTGTGAAAAAAAATTCCAAAAAAATCCATTTGTAATGCACTTTTTCGATAAAATTTTTGCATTTTATTTGCTGTGCAGTCAAATATATTGTGTAAACAAATTGAAAAAGTAGCGATATTCTTGGAATTTTATGTATTTTTAATAATTTAGGAAGAAAAGGACATGTTGTACATGTAAAAAAATTTCCAAAAAAAAATTCTGACAATGAGTGTTTCTTTAACATTAGATTCTCTCCCAAATGCTGTTAACATTGTTAAACCGGACTTTACAATAGTAACTGATACAGGAAGCTATCCGGTTCACTTACTTCTTGCTGTAGCTCAGTCGCCAAAAATCGCTTCTGCATACATGGAAAACAATGAAATAAAAGAGTATAAACTCGAAACTCCGGATCCAAATATGCTATTTAAACATATTGCAGATTTAATTCATGGAAGTACAATCGAAATTGACTCTGTTAACGCATTCTTCTACAATGTTGTTGCAATTGAACTTCAAATTCCACAATTGCTTCATGCCTGCAGAAAGTTTTTACCAGATTTAGGTCATAATACAGTTATTGAATTTAATCCACTTCATCCATGGAAAGGAATCATTTCATACTTCCACCCATATGAAGATGAATCAGAACTCCAAATCGAAGTCTCATCGAGTTCTGTTTACGGAGAACCAGAAAATCTTATTCTTCAAGACAACACTCCTACATATTGGGAAAGCGAAAATCTTCGTGATTCTTACTGCCTTTTCGATTTTGTTAACAAAGGAGTTAAACTCAGTGCTTATGCCCTTAGATCTTCAAATAATATGACAGATGAACTTGATCCAAAGACATGGCGCGTCGAAGGCTCTCATAACAAAGATGAGTGGTTTGTTTTAGACGAGAAATACGAAGTTAATGACTTAGTTGGTGCTTCTCTTGAAGGTTTTTACGAATGTCAAGAAAAAGCCAGTGATGATGCTTTCAGATATATCAGAATCACTCAAACTAGTTGCAACGAGAAAGGAACGTTTGTTTTCAGACTTGCACGCGTCGAATTCTTCGGAGAAGTTGTTTCTCTCGAATAAAGACCTTTTTATTGTGATCACAATTAATAATACAATGTGTTAAATTTAACATGAAAGAGTTAAGATTTAGATAATAATTTTTAATTAAAATTTCTTTAATTTAATGCTTTATTGTGACGTAATCAATTTAATAAACAAATGTTATTATCACAACAGATTATAAAACTAATTTGACAATATTTATCAATTTTTTTTTATATTGAACTATCTATTATGGATTCTAAAAGATATAGTACCTTTCATCGGGTCAAAAATGATAAAACCATATTAAGGCTTCACTAACATGACAAAAATTAAAGTCCCTTGAGATATATATTCTATGATGTATATCAATGCTATATTTATCATTATTTTTAATTTTTATTGACCCACCCAAAAAAAGCCTTCTTCCACTAACATGAGTTATAACGTACTTAAGGTTAATTTTCAATGGCGCTTCACGCCAGTTGTCAAAAATTTGAATTAAAGTCAGATGGGCGCCTTAGTTTACAAAAAATACGTTATTAACACCGTGAGTCTTCTTCTAGAGATCTTTTTTAGATTTTGAAACAATGAAAAGATAGAGCATGATAGATGCATGCTATATTTAAGTTTATTCATAAAAATATCAATTCTATCATAGAGAAAAAGTACATTTAAGCGCAAAAAATTGAATAGTTCTAAACTAAGGCAGTGATCCCTTAAAACCATGGAAAAATTTCCTGCACATTGGCAAATGAGCGTTCTTATTCATCTGATTCTAAATACCTTTCCAATGCCTTTAACTATGCGCTTGGCCTCTCTCTCAGTTTTACATCTATGTCTTACGCGCTGTAGTTTCTTATTTATTACTTTCCAATCAGAATATGTTATTCTTCCGTCTGAATATGTTGTTTTCTCTCGGGATTTTATAAGGTTATAATATTCAACTTTATAGCGAGATCTATCAATATCTTTATCTGTCATGTATTCAATTGTAGTGGAATAATTCCATTTCTGTGAAACATTAGCAATTTCCCAATCAAATTGTATTGTATATGTCCTATTTAAAGACATCCAAATGTTGCGGGTTTTGTTTATAAAATTCGAGTAAAAAATGGAATTATCATCATCAATTTTTTCCTCAAATGTGTTATTGTAAACATCAAACTCCCCTTCAACTTGCCAATGACCAACAATTGCGTCCGATTTAAGAGAATCTGGAAGATTGTAAGAGGAACGCTCGGAAACCCAATTTCGAATTTGAGGAATCTCATATTGGACATCTAAACGATTATATGCAACATTATCAACAAAGAATACCTTAATATTATGTGATCTCGATCTTCCTGTAAGACGTGTCAAATAATCTTCAACTTCATTCTTAAAGTAGTCTGATTGACGATATCTATCATCTTCCTTTGGAGCATGGTATGTAAATATGAGACCCATTTTATAAAATATTTCGTCTGTTTTGAAAGATTCATACAAAAGTCGCAAAACTTGCTTATTAGAATTACTTAGCTTGTTTTTGTGCATAGGAATGACAAGTGCAACTGCGGTAATACCATATAGATGATTCTTTATTGCTGAAAAAATATTTGAAGCTTGAATACTTGTATTTGCGCCATGTTTCCGAAATCCATTTGTTTCAATGACATATTTGATGCTATTCCCTGTGATGTTATATCCAATTTGATCACCATTTTCATAAAGTATGGTATTTTCCGGAGAGGAAGAATTATTTCCCAAATATAGATTTCCAAATAATGTTTTACCGGATCCTGGTTTCCCAATTAGATACAATGTTGTAACATTATATAAAATTGTATTCACCATTAATTTTTCGAGGTGTGATATTGAGTCGTGAAAATTCACTTTTTCCGTTAAAATTTCCAAATTTACATCTATTCAATTTTTTAAATAAAAAATGATATTTAGCTTATGCGAATCATTATATGTCTTTCTGCTGTTTCAGAGTTAAAAAATTCGGAAGAAGACGATAGGAGCAAATGTATCTTATTTTGTAAATCACAATTTGGAAAATTAATAAAATCAATTGTTTACGAAATCAGAAAATATCCAAAAAAAATTGTAAAAAAACAAATAAATATTTAATAAACAACAAATAATATTATTGATTCTTAGCAGCCAAAGCCGCTTTAAGCTTTTCATTCTGATGCTTGAACTGATTATATTTATCAGTCAATTTCGCAAGAGATTGTTCTCTCTTTTGGAGCATTGCCTTCAATCTCTCATTGTTTTCTTTCTCTTTCTCCAATTTGAGAACTTGTTCTTCTTGAAGAGCTTTCATTTCTATGTATTTAGCTTTGTAACTCTTCATTTGAGCTGTAACTCTTTCGAGTTGTTCCATTTCTTTCGTGCTTTCGCCAGTTCCATTTCTTGAATCTGACAAATCTTCTCTTAATGATCTTGCAGCTCTTGCATGATCCAATTGGTCTTTCATGAAGGCAACTTTCTTCTTTAATTCCGCATTTTGTCTTTGAAGCTTTTGTGTATACTGAGCAGTCAGCTTTGAATCAGGTTGACCTCTTTCAACTCTATTTTCATCATCATCTTCGGCTTTCTTTTCTGCAGCAGCCATTTTCATTCTGTAATCATCAACAACTTCTCTTTGTGATCTCAGCAACTCTTCCAAGCTTGCAATTCTGTCTCTTAATGATTCGTTTTCGCTGTTCAAAGCTTTCAATCTTTTTGCAACTTCAGGTAATTTCGAATAATCTCCATCAGGTCCGAAACCTCCATTTGCAGCGTTTTGCATTTCCTGGTATTCCTTCAATCTTGCTTCTAAATTCCTAGCAGCTTCATCTTGTATATCTCTTAGTCTCTGCTTGAATGATTCTCTTTGTTCTTGAAGTTGTTTCTCCAATCTTTCAATTGTGTCTTGAGAATCACTGATAACAGTGTCTTTTTGCTTCATTCTTCTCGCGTAATCATCAAGCATTTTCTGTAAATCTGCCATATCTTCTGCATTCTTCTTGAGTCTATCTTGTCTTTCTTTCTCTCTGGAATCTAGAATTCTCTTTTCTTCTGGTGTTGGATACAAAAAGAATTCTCTTGCTGTTTGCATTTGAAGCGAAATTTCTTTTTGCTGAACTGAATATGATTGTGGGACTGTTGAAATAAACAACTGTTCTTTAGGACGTTGTGGCACTACTTTTATTGGTTTAGGTTCAGTAGTTGCTTGAGGTGGTGGCAATGAGGTTAATTCAGCATATTCAGCTCCTAATTTTTGCAATCTTTGCTTGAGTTCTTCGTTTTCTGCTTTGTTATTTTCAAGTTGAGATTCTCTATTTCTAAGTAATTCTTCTAGTTCTTGTATCCTTGCCTTCATTGTCGCATTCTCATTCAAAGCTGCTTTAAGTTGTTTTTGTACATTCAAGTATTGTTTCTGGAGATTTGCAACCCATTCATCTCTTTCATCTGGATTTATCTCAACGAAATCAGGAGGAATTGGATCTTCCCCAGCTTGAACTTGAACATCAACATGACTTATTGGTTCTATTGGGCTTTTCTCGCCTTTCTTTGTTTTAGTCTTATTCAGCTCTGAATCATCAACAGAAGATGGAGAAGAAGGAACAGATTCTTTCTGTGTAAAACTGAAATCATCTTTCGGTTCATTTCTCCTTTTCTTTCCTTTCCTCTTTGAGTTTCTCTTCAACATCGTTCCAGCTCTGTCAACAGCATCTCTGAAACTCATCACATATCCTTCATCCTGCTCGACAATGACTTTCATGTTGCCCAATGGTGGATTTTCTCTCATTTCCTTGAGATAAGCGTTCAATTCTCTCGTTGCTCTGTCGATTCTCGCTTGTTCGTCTTCGGCAATACGACCATCGAGATTCTTTAGGAGGTCATTGAGATCGAAATCCTTTCCTAATTCATGTACAAGGCCTTGGATGATTTTATCCATTGAGTTTACTTGAGCAATTAATTCAGCAATATGTTTTTCACGGATTTGGACCATGGCTCTGAGCTCTTTCAATTCATCAATAGCTGCAGGTAGACCAAATTCACCTTTTTCGTATTTCGAAACTAAGATTCTTAATTCATTAATTTCATTTGTTTTTTCTTCAATATTTAGACGTGTATCATCAAGAATCTTCTTAGTTTGTTCACTTGAGTTCCTGTATTCTTCAAGTTCTTTCTTTATTGCCTCAATTTGTCTTTGAGATTCTTCTGCGTACATCTGTTTCTCTTCTCTATAAATGGCAATTTGATTTGCAAAGTCTTCACTACTGTGCTTGTATTGGAGAAGTTCTTGCTCGTTTTGGTTAAGTAGATCTTGTAAATGATCAATTTGTCTTTGGCGTCCTTCAACAGCTTGCATGAGTCTTCCTGCTCTTCTTTCTTCTTCCTGTAGTTTCATGATTCTTTCTCTGAGTTCTCTGTTTTGCTTTTTGTAGTTTAATAATTGTTGGGACATTTCATCATCGATTGGAGTAGTTTTTCCTAAATCTCCACCACCAGCTGTGACTTGTGTTGTAGTTGTAACTGCATTTTTGTCATATTTGCGAAGTTTATTCTCATATCTTTGACATCTTCTTTGAATATCAGCAATTTCGTTATCTTTCACAGTAAGCTGTTCTTTCATATCTTGGAATGCATCAAGAAGAGTTTGATCACGTTTCATAAACTCCTCAGTAACATTTTGCAATTCTTCGTTTTTAGCTATGAGATCTGATATATCTTTTTGCATCGCTTTCTTTTCTTCTAAGTTTTGTGTTAATTGCTGCATTTGTTTTTTGATTGTCATTTGATTTTTTTCTGCCTCTTTTCTAAGTGTTGTAATTTGGATGTCTTTTGTAGCAGCATCGTTGATCCTACTTGTAGCTTCGCTATTTTGACGTTGAACTTGATCTTCATACAATCGCAATTTCGAATTTAAAGCATTAATTTTTTCTTCTAGAGCTGTTTTCTCGCGACTCAGTTTTTCTCTGTCGTTATACATTGTGTTGTTTTCTTCTCGAAGCTTTTGTATTTCTCCCGGATCAACATTCGAAGATAATTGTAAATTTGAGATATGTTCGCGGAGAGATTGATTTTCTTGCTGGAGAGAATTAATCTGCTCTTGCAAAGGTACTATTTGCTCAGCAATAATCTGCTCTAGCGCGGCGTCATCCATATTTCCACGCTAAAGCAATAAAAAATTTTTAACGTCCTTCAAAATCTTTCTTCTTGAGTTTATAGGGGCAAGTCGTAACATATGGGTTATATTCTAATGACGGTAATATTATGAGTCGAACTGAACGTTCTGAACGCGCTATTAGTTAAGCTCAAACTTATTTCTACAGCATAATTTAATTGAATCGTTCTCATTATATTCATATTTTCTTAAATATTGATTAAAACATTAAATGTTAAGATAGGCTATTAACTATTAAACTTGATAATTCGTGAATCTGTGTAAATTATAAACTCAAAATTCATTATTACATATCGAGATATTTAAGACTCACAAGTCATTATAATTTTGCATTACACACTGACACTTTAGCGAATAATATCAGAAGATTTCAGATTCTCAAAATCAAATTTAATTTTATGAAAATATGATTCATAGTAAGTAATCCCATATCAAAAACTACTTGATTAGACGTTTAATTCTCAAAATATGGTATTTTGGCAAAATATTTGTAAAATTTTATTTAATTTATCAGAATTATCATGCACAAAGCCTAAGGATAATCGTAAAATCATGCAGATCTAATGTATTTTCATATTTTGTTCTGGTGAATTAAAATGTTTTTTTCATGATTAAAAAATTTTGCATTAATTATGAAAAATTTGTACTGAAAGTGCTTTTCGATGAGCATGATTAAATCTTTGTCTAATCATTTGTTAATTTTATTAAGTTTGATTCTAATTTTTTTCAAATTTAAAGAAGAATTTATGACGAAATATTGCTAAACGCTGTTATTAGTTTACTTTGTAGTATTATTCAAGTGTTAGCAGTATGTTGCTGCACCGCTTATGGAGATATGCGAGGACATTAAATTTTGTAAACCATTTAAAATTTGTGATGCTCCGCCGAGATCCATCATCTTCGAGCGAGCAGGACTTTGCGAGTATAATAACCAAGCTGAAAGATCATTATAAAGCAGAAGACCAGCAGAAACAGAGCAGTATTAATGCAAGTTCCCTTGAATTTCTTGATAGAAGAAATTATCAGTCTTGCCAGGTTTCAGATTTGGTATCAGCTGCCGAATTTGATCAATATTACTATCACCCAGCAAATGTCCTAAATGCAGCGTCAATTTGTCAAATCAGATTATATTTTGGAACATTCCCCGAAATAAACTTATGCTACTGCGTTGTTGACGACAAATTATTCTACTGGAAGAAAGGCGATACAGTAGCTAAGATGTTTCGTGCAAAAGGAAGATATATTTCAAGCGTTATTATAAATTCACCGGATGAAGAAGTTTTTTACTCAAAAAATGTAAAATGCGTATTAGCAATCTCCACAGATACCACGATTTGCGTCATTCCAATTAAAATCAACAGTTCTTTGTTTAATAATGAAAAAAATACAATCGAAGATTTTCTCGACTTACAGTCCATTATTTCGACAGACTCCCATACGTTCGTTTGTTCCGCATTATGTCCAACCGGAAGCGGCTACATTTTCGCTGGTTCTGATACAGGAGCTGTTTTCTTGTTAAAATACAAAGTTAACAAGGCAAACGTTAATAACCGTAAAATCAAAGCATATATTTTACCAAACAACCCGTTAAAAATGAAAGCATTCAATTATTTCCTTCATTACCTCCCAACACAGTTCTTTGAGAGAAATTGCATTGTACAACTCTGTTTCGAGAAGACCAGAGGCTATTTGGCCGCTTTAGACCGCACTTATCGCTTAAGATTTTTCACAGTTACACATGATTTCGTAGTTAACGAAATTGAAGGCCTGATCGGTGAGCAGTTCCAGCCAATCGTCAAACTCGTCGACGTACCAGCCTCAGAATCCGGGAACATTGTTTTTATTGGAATAACAAAATCTGGCGACAGATTGAGTTTCGCTCAAGGCATAAATATCATAGATAACTCGTTCTACATCATGCTTGTTTCCAAGCGCCAAATGGTCGAATCTCAAGGCCAATCAAAGATGAACGAGTGTCTCGACGGTGTTTCGACTTTGAACTCTACCGTTGTGATCAACAAGGGTAAATTGTGTCTCGTATCGTCTTTATCGTCGATCCAAGATATAACACAGCGACCAGAAGAATTATTTAACATTTCTACGGCGCCAGAGACATGCTTATCAGTATCTAGTGCATCGCATATACTCGAATCATTAGAAATCAACGCTTTCAAGGACGCTTTTGGATGGCAACACATAGAAAAAGCACCAAAAATAGAATTAGTCACAACGAAAAGAGTAATTACCATCAAATTCAACAGACCTGTAGATATCCTCTCGAACTACATCAGAGAAAGCAACGGAAACTACACACCGAAGATATTTAACTGGATGAAAGCAAATAAACAAGAAGCAGGAGCCACAGCTTTGTTACTAGCATCAGAGGATTCATCACAGAAGCTCCAAGCTCTGTTCGTACTTTCACAATTCGCTAAAAATGAAATAAAAATGAGAGATGATTTCAATCAGAGCCTCCACGTATCCAGCCAAGCTTTCCTTTTACGTGTAGCCCGCATTTTAGAGCCAGCTTGGTTCTCTCCGCTCTTTGAAATTAAGATAAAGAAAGCAGATGGCCAAACCACAACGAAATACAAGATTTCTTCACTGTTCGATGACTATACGACCGAATTTATTGTCAAACAGCTCACTAATGTCAACGAGTTGATCACTGAATACAACAGAATTTTGGTTACTCTTAAAAACGACATTAAAAAAGACGATAAGAACGATAACCAAAATGAAAATGCATTTCTCTATGAATTATCATCATATGTTCATATACTTATTGAAGTATTTACATTCATAGAGATTGTTGGTAAGCAAAATAAGACTTTTATAACAAATGCAATAAATTTGTTAGATGAATCATTCAAGAATAGACTCATTTCGAAGGAACTAGGTGAAGAAAGCACAGATGGCTCTCCACAGGTCTCAATTGTCGATGCTCTTCGCGAATTATGTCTCCAAATGTTCGCATCTGGTGGAAAGGCCAAGCTCGGACACGAACTACGTCGTAGATGTCCAACCTTCTTCACATTAGAGGATTCCCAGCTCCTTACAGCCCTTGCCGAGCTAAATCGCTGCTTGCCAAACTCTCCAACATTAGAAAGGATCGTAGAAACCATCCTAAAGTTGGTGAACAGAGCAGTAAACCTCGATTACGTATGCCAAAAGCTCATAGAGCTCAAGCATTTCAAAGGCGTTGTCGATATCTGCTTGGCCAGAGCCGCTGCCATTGATCCGAGCCAGAAAGCTTTATTGTGGTTCAAAGGCCAGCGTCTTAAGACTGACGAAGCAGGTACATATGCCTTTGATAAGAGATATCAATGTTATGAGCACATTTTCCAGCTTATTAACGAACAGAAAGCCTTCGATATCATGATTACCACCAACGATGAGCTTTTCCACCTCTGTTTGTACCAAAGAATCTTCCAATTACACAAACAAGAGCAATTACTTTCCAGAAACACTCCATTCATCGAAGAATACCTGCAAGAGTTCGCACCAACTTACATGTGGTCCTACAAAGCCAACCACCGCGAATACAGCCAGGCAGCCAACGAATTATACAAGATGGCGATGTCAGATAAGATCGAAGCCACTCTCCAGAAGCGAATCGACTATCTTCAGGATGTTGCCAAGTACGCGATTGCCGACAACATGTCTTCGATGCTCAATGAAGTACAAGTCCGTCAGCAACTCGCTTTAATCCAGAAATCTCTTTCAGAACGAACAGGAAAGACAATGGACAAACTCCTCGACAACCAGACACTTCTCAACGAGTGCACGTCATCCGGACAATGGGATCTTGTCCTCAAACTCATCGCCGCTTGTCCTGTCCAAACAAATCAGAGAGAACAACTGATTTCGCAAGTTTGGACAAATATGTTGGTCGAACAATTATGGAACACTTCACTTCACCAGGCATCAACCATTATTGTAGAGACGATGAATGGAAGATCCAATGCAGGAAATGATGTATTGATTCCGAAGATTGTTGTTCCTGTTCTCGAGGAATACAAAATGAACAGAAGAGGTGAATGTTTATGGGCGGAAGACACAATTATAAAGTGTGGAGCAAAGCCAAATGACGTGTTCCAGGCGTATTACTCGATTTTGGAAAGAAGTAACTTGACAAATCAAGTAAGAGCTGATTACACTTACGCGGCAATTAAATTGGCAAATTTGGGTGCAAAAGTGACAGAAAAACAAGTATTGAATTTGAGGAAGTGGATTAGCGAGGTAGGAAAGGGTTTGCCTTTCTTCAATGATGCACTTAACTTGTTGGCATCTATCCCTAATATTATATAATATATATAGATATATAGATATTTTTTTATTTATTTGAATTTTTTTTATTATTATTTAAAGTATAAAGTAATTTTTTTCTTATTTACTTATGGTTCTTCATAAAAGCTATTGTTGGAGTACTTTATGAGACTCTGTTTGTTAAAAGGTATATATATTTGCATACATTCTGGGCGGAAATGTTTATGATATTACGGGGTTTTGAGTCAGAAAGTTCTCATTTTTCCTCTCAAATCATTGTTTTTAATAAATGCTCATTTATATTTCGACCTTATATAAGGGAATGCATTTCTATTACATCGCGATTAAGGAGGTAATAATGTTGTATAAAGTTAGTTTTCATATAAACTTCATTCTAGTTGTCAGAACTTTGCTATAAAGTCTAACCAATAAATTTCTTCATCATAACTTTTAATCTTCTACTAAATGGCGTTCAAATTGAGTATGATCATTCTTATTTACATATTTATTAATGTAGTGAAGATTTAAGTAAAAAAGTTTTGTTATCAATGGAAAATGTTTAATTAAATTATGCATATATAAATAAGAATTAAATATGAAAAATAAATTCTTATAGATATAATTCTTCGTTAATTTCATCATCTACAACCTCATCTGAATCGAAAATTCCATCCTCATAATCCCTTCCATTTGTTGTATACAATGGATCATCCATTGTTGTTTGTTCAACTTGAGTTGATGGATTTGTAATTATTGTTTCCGCTTCAACTATATCAGATTGTTCTTTCTGATCACTTTTCTCTTTTACGCTGTCTTTCTTCTTCAGATAAACAACAATTACGATAATAATAGCAATTACTAAAAGTGCAGCAATGATTCCAGCGATTATTGGGATTATATTTGATTTAGGTTTAATATTTCCTGACCCTATTCTATCATTTCTGCCATTTGATGTGATACTGAGGTTTAATTCAACATTTGGGGATTGTAAATCATCTTCATCAACTGCCCAAACAATAATTTTGGTTGGACCTAATTTTGTATCTGATTTGATTTCAAATTTTCCTGTGAAACTTTGCCTTGAAGCTGTTGAAATTATTTTTGCAATTGGCCTGCTTTCATTTCCTAATTTTGCATAAATAGTAATTGTATTATTTTTATCTGGATCGAATACTTTACCTTTGATTGTGATGTCCAGGTACAGCTGTTGAATTTGATAATGTCACGTTAGATAAAGAAGGATAATTTCTCATAAAGAAGAAGAAACCGGATTCAATGGATTCTATATTTTCTTTGTCAACAACTTTCACGTACAAGTTGTGTTTGCCATGTTTAACTGTATTTGGAATCTTGAAAAATGTTGAAAAGTTTCTGTTAGTTTCAAATTGATTAAATTCGTAATTCAGACTATTATCTTCGAATTGTGAATTATCGACTCTAAATCTAACTTGTGAATTTGATTCTGCGAAAATACTGCCTGACAATTCAATTGATGAATTTTCATGATAAATTCTTTGTGTTGGGAATATCACATCAATTGAAGGTCTATAATTTATTGTTAGATCAAATTTTTGATCATCTGATTTGGAATTCTTTTGTAAATTAGCTTTAAGATCAGAAGAATCTTGAACCCAGAATATAACATTCTTAAGTCCCCTTCTGTATTCAGCTTTAGCAACCAATGGCAAGTTCATTTGTTTTTCTTTTTCACCTTTAGAAATTGTTTCAAATAATAGCATTGGATCATTGGAGTCAATTTTAACGTAGAAATACAATTTCTTATTCTCATCTCTATTTGTGAATAAAAATGATAAGTAAGTAATATCATTATAATATACTTCATTCTTGGAAATTGAAAAATTGGAAATTTCAGGTTTGTTCTTAATATCAAAAGATTTTCCAATCGGGTTAATTGTTTCTTTTTGATATTGATCGATTAATGTAATTTTAAGAGAGTTATCATTTGGTTTGCTATTTGCTGGTATAGTGAAATTAATTGTAACATCGGTTTCTTTATCATCTGATGCTATTTCTTGATCGTAATCACTTAAATATTTGTCATTATATGTTAATTTAATTGTGCAATTTGTATCATCCTTAACTGTTAACTTAATAGGAACAATTTCATCCAATTGATAAATAGTGTCTGTTTCTTCTTTGAGTTTTAGGATTGGTTTATATGTTAATAAAATATCTTTTGGTACTTTCTCTGATTTATCTAAATCAGATAATTTGGAAGAAGGATTTTCTTGAGTGCTGCACCATATATTTAATCCTTTCTCTCCAAAGATGTTTGGTAAGGTATATGTAAACTTAAAGTTCAATTGTGATGCATTTGATTTCATTCTACCTAATGATGTTATTTCATCTATGTCATCAAACTTGATGAAGAAGTATAAATTTTTATCTTTATCTTGATCATCAAGAACTCCAGCTATATCTATGTCTGTTGATGAAAGCAAATATTGTTCATTACCAATGGTAATGTTACTAAGTTTTGGTTTGTTCTTAATGTCAAATTCTAAAGGGAAAACATCAGATTCTTGATTACCGCTATTAACTCGGATCTTAAAAGTGTGTCTACCATATTTATATTTTTCCGGTATTTGAATCTTTTTATTATCAAATTGATACCGTAATCCATTAAAAGTAATCTCTTCTGAAGTTAATTCTTCATCATCATTAATCCAATAGCGGATTGTGGCAGGTGATAAGCAATCAACATATCCATTTATTGTCACTGAAGATTTGGTTGAAATATATTTTGTTTCTAATTGGGCATGAATTGTTGGTTTAATTGTGACTAGAATGTCAGTTTCATTTGGAATAGAAGTTGAATATTTCATCTCCTCATTTGGACCTGATTCAATATCCGTAGTTAGTATACATATCTCGTGTACTGTGGCACTGCGTTCCACCGTACACATTATATGTGAATTTGACACTTTACGAAACTGGTAACGTATATTTTACAACACAAACACAAACACCAACTTAGTTAGTATCCCTAAGTCATGTACTGAGGCACTGCGTTCCACCGTACACATTATATGTGAATTTGACACTTTACAAAACCGTTAACGTATATTTTACAACACAAACGACAACACTAACTTAACCTTAAATATTTATAAAGCCGCCAACCACTTCACCTTACTACTGTAAAAATAAACGTTCTCACTTACAAAAGTATTGCAACTCTTCCCATTGCTGTGCTTCACACAACAGTTCATATTCTTCACTATTGCTGCTGTCACTCCAATCGTCAGAGTCAAAATCACTGTCAAAATGAATGTTAGTAAGTTTTGACAAAGCTAATGAAACACGTTTACCGTTTGTATCGTATGCTTGTATAAACTTTCCATTCTTCATTCCTTCATAAACGCTCAAACTAACTTTACCCTTTCTCCCTCGTATCTGATAGAATGTATTTTCACGAGGAACGAAGAACAAATTCTTGAACTCATGACCGTTGTAGTTTGTTATCTCAATAGTTTTCGTCATTTACATCCAAATAAAATAAAAAATAAACTTAAAAATAAATGATATCACCACCCTCACACGTATGAAAACATAGCACAAAAATAAATTTAGGTGAAGTGGTGACATCTCACCTCTTTTTTCACCTCTTTTTTCACCCACTTGAATTCATTACTTTATAACTCTCTTCCTTGGTTTCTTTTTAGTTGCTTTCTTCACGTCTGTCTCCAACTTGACTGTCTTTCTTCTTCGTCCGTAATGATACCAGTTACTTCCACCAGTCAATGGGTCAAATGGTCTTTCGTAAGGGTTTCCATACATTCCATAGGGACCATACGGAAGAACTACTGGTGGAGGAAGAGTTCCATCGACTCTATTTAAATGCATTGTTTCACCTTTCATCTGGTCATTAAAGTCTTTTGCATGTTTTGCAAACTCATCGTCCTTTCCTAAAGCATTTTCTGACTCAGTCGCAACCAAATTGGATGCTTTATTTATGAGCCCTATTTTATTTAATCTTAACTTCTTTGCAACCCAGCCTCCAATCTTTCCTTTATTTGCATCTAATGTCTTCGAAACTCTTCCTCCACTCATTTTATTTACTGCGTCATAAGCCCCAAGTGCTTTTGCTCCAAATGCTAATGCTTTTGTTCCCATTGCGCCTAAAGCTGCCCAAGCTACCATTTACACCATATTAAAATCATCTCTCTTCAATATTATCTCATAAAAGTTCTCGTTACTGGAGAAAGTCAATGAAACATAAACATTCTCACGGGCTTCGCCCTCACCGCTTTGCGGTCTATCTAACTTCTTTCTTATATCATCTATACGCTTCAAAATGTCTGAACAATTGCTAACATCTTCTACAACAGTTATTTCATCATGAATGACCTTCAAGAACAAGCTCATTTAATATGCTATTAAAATCATCTCAATAATGAGTCCATCCTTTCCATCTTTAGGTAGCACAACATCTTTCATTGAAGAAGGTTCAACAAGTCTTATGTTAAACTTACTGACAAAGTTTGTTATACTATAATGCTTCGGTGGCGAATACATATAGTTTGAAAGACATAATATAGATTCTTCAGCAAATTCACTTATACTGGATTTTATAACAATGTTCTCACGAGACCAAATGCCACCAATTGACAATCTTGTAAGCAATCCTGCTGAACCTTCTACTGTAAACGTCGATGGTAACATTCCACGAAGGTCATCTATTGACATCGTTGAGTCACTGAATTTAAATATTTTCTTAAAGCAATCGTCATTATCTAACCATGCAATAGCTTTGAAGTTTCATTCGAATATACATCTGCTTCATTAAATGTAAAACCTGACTTCTTTGCAGAGATGACTTTAAAATCTATTGAGTTTGTTTCAAAATTATATGCTATGGTAACTTCTGAAGGTAATGGATGCCCTTCCGCAGTCAGTTGTTCTCTCACTACCGTTTGAAGCTTTGTGTTAAAAACTTTCATGTCATCTCCTGTGTCTAGGTTCACATACACAGCAACAGGAAAACTATCTTGCTTCTTTGTTTCATCATTATACCTCAAAACATTAAAGTTCTTCAATAATATTGTCCTTCCTGCTGGAATACTTCTAACTTGTCTTATTTCAATAGCTTTCTCACCTCCTACATACTCTACCCAGTGTCTTGGATATTCATAAGTATACTGACTTCTTGAATTTTTGGTTGGTTTCATCATAACGTGTTCATAGTATATCTTTATACTCTTGTCAGTTAGACTCGGTGCTATGTTCTGAATATTTCTGACTTGCATTTTTAATGGAGATTAAAATGAAGCATTTAATACATGACGTAGATGAAGACATGAATGAAACTACAGACAAACTTAACTCTTCTCTCATTCTTCCTTTCAGTAAGGACTATGAGTTCTGTTCAAATGGTGTTTATTTCTATTGTGGAAAGATGGGTTCAGGTAAGACATTTAACCTCATTCGTCATATACTCATAACAGAACGTTTAGGAAATGACTCATATTATGACCAAATCATTATATCAGCAACTTCAGACTCTATGGACTCAACAGCGAAAACATTTATGTCAAAAGTTCAAGCCTCTGTCGTTAAAGTTCCAGACAGTGAACTCATTGAATTTCTTCAACGTTACATTCGACGTAAGAGGAAATATTATGCCATCGTTGAATTTATACAGTCAGGAATGCAAAAGACTTCAGAAGAGATGGAAAGAATTATTGACAAACACCACTTACTTCAATACTCAGGCGTTTACGATATGAAACGACTGACAAACTACATTCTATCAAAACTTTCAAAATACCCCTTCAAAAAGTATCCTTCAAACACTCTGCTCGTTTGCGACGACTTCGCCGGAAAAGGTTTAGTGTCAAAGCCTGACTCACCATTAGCTAACATCATAACTAAAGTCAGACATTACCACTTAACTGTAGCAATACTTATGCAAACATGGAGGTTTTTAGCTTTAAACATAAAACGTCTCATAACTGACTTCGTTATCTTTCAAGGTTTCTCACGTTATGATATTGAACTCATTTGGAAACAGTCAGGTATAACATTACCTTTTGAAGAAATTTGGGAAGCATATAAGTCTCTCATCTCTCCTCGTTCATACCTTGAGATTCATATCATGACTAATACCATTAAAGTCAAAAATATTCCATGGGAACGACCAACATTGTTTTAAAGTTTAACCTTCAATTGACTGATGGTAAACAAATTCCATGCATCTCTGTCGCCATTTCTGTTAATATTTTTGCTGTCATTCATATCATCCACTTCCCCATCCGTTAACTTTTGAGGATATGCGTTAGAATAGCTGTTCTTAAATGAAGGCTTTTCACCTTTTAGCGCATAAACTCTATAACTTTCTGCATACTTTATGTTTGAACCTCCTGAGCCATCATTGACATAAATTTTTATAGGCTTCCACCCTTTGTTCATGTTCCTGCTTCTTCCCTTAGCTCTTTTGTTCAGTAGTTCTACATCTTTATACACAGCTCCTGTCTCAGTGAATTCAACAATATTTTCATTCGTTAGCTTTACATTCAAACCCTTGTCGAGTGTATTGTTCATTTCATACATATAAAAGGTTTTTATTCTATATGAAATGAGAAGCAAATCCATCTTAGCTGGTGCCGTTAATGTTCCAATTGAACCAACATCAAATGTTGACTCACGAACGACAAACAATATTGTCATAAAGAACTATAGTTCAGAGTGTTTGAAAGAAAAAGAACCAGAACTGAAATCCGTGAATTTAAACACAGCTTCAAACGCTAACGCTACATCAGATGTTAAGTTAGAGTATCCACCACTGGACCAAATTCTTTCAAGAGAAGCCAACGACAACCCTTACATAAATGTTCAAACAAATCCTTCAGATAACGTAGACCATTACCTTCTTCAGTTATATCAAACAATTTTACTCAAAGACGATAAGAAGCTTTTGATAAATCTTATAAGTAAGAACCAAATAATTCTAACAAAGGAGGACCTTGAAAATGTTATATCACGAATAACAGGGAAACAATGTGTCATTGACTATCTCGACCCTGAAATCGAATGCTGTGGTCAAACGCCACCATTCATGAAAATAGGTAACATCCGCATCATTGAAATACCAGGTACTCCAGGAGTTGAGTTTAAGTATAAATATTCGAACGAGTATACAAAACTATCTACTGACTATAAGCTTTGTTTGAAATATGTTTTAGTAAATTAAAGCAACTTATAGTATCTGTCCAAAACTTCTTCAACAGTATCGAACTCATCTTCATAATGCAAACCTAATCTTATTGACTTGGTGCAGTTTTCACTAACACAATATAGCGCTTTGCGCTCGGCGCCTTTGACGCCTTTTTCTGTTCTCTTGACTGACATAACTAATTCATTTGTTTCATCAAACAGCAACAACCAAAGTTCATGACCTAATACATAACATTCATACTTTATATTTTTAGCTCTGAGTTCTCTTGTAAGCTGTTGCATTTAATATTTTCTAAAAAGTCAACTTCAACAGTCATTCGCACTGGTGCCTTCAGTTCTACAGGCTCTCCTTGAAAGTCAACTAGTCTGAATTGCATGTCTTTCAAATTATGAGGACTAATGCGAACCCATTTACCTAAATGAGTTGCTATGACAGGAACGTTTGGAATGAACATTGAATTGACTGCATAACAGAAGGATTTATATTCTACTGAACCTTTACTATTAACTCCTGAAATACCTGTGACATTAGCTATTTTAGACTCAATGTACAAACAATTACCATAACATACGTATGGAACAGATTTCATCTCAATCGTTTTGTCAACACTTTTCAAAGGAAATGTCATATGGTATGCACCCAGAAGCAATTGAACTCTATGACTCATTCGTGTTATCTTAAACTCCTTCGCATAACTGAACTTCAAAACTCCTGCAATAAGTTTAACATTCATTAAGTTTTCTTCGTTCTCCTTGTTTATTGTAGTATTTATGAGAGCATTTAACACTCCAGCTAATGTTTCCATCTTATATTCTACATTATTGTGAAATCTTATTTCATGCTTCTTTCCATCTATTTCAAACTCTATGAAATCTGTTTCATCTGTTATAACGAATGAAGCGATAGTATTGAAGTCAACAACTCTGAAAGCAAGTGGCTCATTCTGTAGACCTAAGTTTGTTTGTAGCTTTACTGTTCCGTATTCGTTTGGGTCAGTACTTTGCAAATAGAACAACATTTTATTCTCATTAAAATATGACTATTGCTGCATATGCGTATGAAGCTGACAGAGCTAAAAGTTTATATTTTGGTCAATACTCTCTCACACTTACTGACAAATATATTGTTATCACTGATGGAAATACCGAGAAATACATAACATGGAAGGACTATGAAAAGTTTGACCCTATTTTAACTCCATGTACAATGCCATTCATTGTAAATGGTGAAGTTGTCATGAAGAACGACACAACAGTATATAAGTCTGTATATGAAGCGTTAGAATATATGTTGAATTATAATCCCGAAAGATTTGACCCAAGCACTACACCATGTGCAATGCCTTTTATTAAGGACGGTGAAATCGTAAGAGTTCCGGATTCAACGGTTTACACAGCTGTTCAAAACAGTTTACAAAACATTTTAGCGAATATCTTTAATTCAGAAACTACAGAAATAAAATTACCATATATAACAGATGCTAAAGAAATTAAATCAAAAACGACAACATTATTTACGTCACTTAATGATTTAATGACTTATATCATTAATATTCCTGCACCAACTACAGCATTTGATCCAAACTCGACGGTTTGCAGTGTACCTTTCATAAAGTCGCAAACGGACTCTTTGAGTCCTGAAGGTCTTTCAGACCGAAGCGACCAGGGCGAAGCCCATGACAGTTCATTAATTGTTTTAAGGGATTCAACAGTTAATGAATCATTAAAGGCGTCATTAATGAAAATCATTGATTTTAACTCATTCACGAATACATATAATTCATTCATTAATGTTTCATATGCTTCTAAAGAAGGTGAGCCAAAAACTATCGATAAAGCGGTGTATGAAATAAAAGCATCAACGACGAAATTGAATTCGTTAACTTTTGACGGTGATAGTTTCGTTAATGACATAACATCGGGGAAAACAATTTTAACGAAAGAATATTTAAAATCTCATGTTAGTGAGTTCGTTGAAATTGAAAAAGAAGGCGGAATTAAGTTCGATCCACTGAATTTCATTTTCAGCTTAGCGAATGCGGGTGTTAGTTTCGCTGAATGGACAACTATACAGAGTGAAATAAATGCAATATGGACGTTTTTGGGGTCAAAAGCGGGAATGGGTGAGCTTGTAAATGCTGCAAGAACATTAGGTGAAACAGGAAATTTTGTAGATGGTTTTAAAAGACTTGTTTCAAATGTTTTAACAAACACAAAGAAATTATTTAGATATACCATACATAACGGACGGATTTTCGAACAGGTAGCAACAAACCCTCCGGTTATGGCTGCGTTGATGATGGTTAGAGATATAAAACCACGTAACGACGGGAACGAAGAACATGAACAACAGAGCCCAACGGGCTCAGAGCCACATAGTGGCGAGGATACTGGTCGGGTTATTCAAGACATTAAAAACGTGTATCCTGAAGTTATTGATTTATTTAGAGGAGTTAATGATTCAATTTCAAAACATTCTATAACCCTCGATGAAGAGAATAAATTAACAGATTATATATTCGTCATTATTGCAGAACTAATGAAGAGAATAAATGAAAAAGGAATTGGTGATATCATTAATGTCAGCGATGTAATGATGAAAAGAAATTTTGACTCATTATTTACAAAACCGAAAACAGAATATAGTCTTTATGACGTAATTACCGAATTAATGAAAAAGATTAATGATAATAAGAGTTCTGGCGGAAGAGTTGAATTAGAAGTGAATGATGTTAATGAGAAATTAGCCGAAAAAGCAGACAAGAACCATGTTCATTATATAACTTCAGACGAACAGATTATAACGGACTACCATGGATATTTAACACGAAGTGATGAAGCGAAGACAAAAAATGTTAATGAAAGAAGATATAAATACATTCGTGCTAAAGGTTATGACATAAGCTGTACTGTACAGTATGATGTAGCTAAAGCACCAGAAGCATTTGGTTATAACGCTGAAATTTATGCCTCTACTTTCAATGTTAACGGTGTATTAGTTGAACCAAGATTTACTTTGAGAGTTAAGTCAAAAATAACGTTTGAAGATGCTATTAAAAGTAAAGCTGACAAAGTTGAACTCGAAGCAATGAACAAAGTTTTGAAATCTCATAAACACAACATCTCCGATATAAATGAACTTCAAGCTACATTAGACAGTAAAGCTGACAAAAATCATACACATAACTCCTTCTCAACTGTTAGAGCAGACGACATAATATTGAACTTTGACCTTGGTTCAAGTGCACCTTTAGAGAATCCGAGTACAAGCGTAAAAGATACTCTTAACAATTTAGATAAGAGTTGCAGGAATATCGAAGGTCATGCCAGAAACTTTGAAACACATGAACTACCAGCAATGTTAGATAAAAAAGCAGACAAGAACCATACACATACAAGTTTTACAACTGTTGCTATAGAAAGTATTGAAGGAACGGTTGAAGAAACTGGTGGGGATGCATTATATTGTAAACCTCCTAACTTTCCACAAGGTTTAACATCGGATGACGACATAACGACGATGAAAAACATTAGATGTAAAGATGTTTATGTCATGGAGGATGAAAATAATGTTAAATTCACTGCTCAAGATTTATATGATAAGAAAGCTGACAAGAACCATACACATAAATCCTTCACTACTGTTAGAGCAGACGACATAATATTGAACTTTGACCTTGGTTCAAGTGCACCTTTAGAAAATCCAAGTACAAGCGTAAAAGATACTCTTAACAGTTTAGATAAGAGTTGCAGGAATATCGAAGGTCATGCCAGAAACTTTGAAACACATGAACTACCAGCAATGTTAGATAAGAAAGCAGATAAAACTTATGTGGATGCAGAACTAACAAAGAAATTTTCGAAACCAGATACAATGACATTTACAACAGAAATTATAAATGGTGAACCAGCAACTCCATTTGAATTTGTTAGAGGTCTTCAACCGGATACTTTTGAATTTTTCTTGGATAATTCTATTGAACTAACATTACATTATAAAAGTGGAACAAATGCAACATTTCATCCGGGAGATACATTCCAAATGGTATTTAATGACATAAGTTCTTTAGAATATGTTTATAGAGTTATGAGCATATATGATTTAATATATCCTATAGGAGCTGTTTATACGTCTATGAATCCAATAAATCCAAACACTTTATTTGGTGGTAGATGGTATGAAATAGTTGACAGTTTTCCATTCTACACTAATACGCAGTCAATGAAGATGGGAGGTTCAAAGAAAATAGGTATTGAAAACCTTCCTTCACATATGCATAGGTTCAGTGGAAGAACATCTGTGGAAGGAAACCATTCACATTCAATAACAAAAAGAGGTTATACAAATCTTGCAGCGGGTTCGAATAGACAGGGAATGAATAGATATGATATCTCAGATGACCCCAAAGATGTTAGCACAGGTATTTTCTGTGGAACTGCAGGAAATCATACACATGTTGTAGCTGGTATTACAGACCCAGCAGGTAATGGAAAAGATTATATGCCTCCTTATATAACAATGCACGCTTGGATACGAGTTGGTTAAAATCTTTATTTTTACATAAATGAGCTTGAAAGAAGTATTCGAACAACATCCATGGAGGTCTTTTAAGAAATTCAATGAAGCTGCAAAGAGTTCGGGATTTACTAACAGAGCTGAAGTGAAAAGGTTCTTTGACAAAAATGTTGTACATCAAACAAAAATAAATCCTTACGACTACTTTTTACCAATTTACTCCAACACTCCTGACGCATACCAATTTGACACTCTCATTCAAAGCAGAAAAGGAGGACATAAACCATTCCTCATCTTCATAAATGTTAACACTCGTAAAGCTTTTGCGTATATAATGAGAAATAAAGGAACTCATGAAGTGTTAAGAGTTTTACAAAAGTTTGTAGCAGAACATAGCCCAAGTACTTTAACATCAGACCAAGACGGTGCATACCTCAGCAATGAAATCACAGAATTTCTCATTAAGCATAACATAACTCACTACACTACTGAAGACCATAACCATAACATACTCGGTATCATTAACCGCTTCATAAGGACTCTCAGAGATTTAAATCAAGAGCGAGACTTTACCGAAAAAACAATGAAACATTTCATCGAAGTTTACAATTCCTCAACACATTCTACAACAGGACATACACCAAATTCAATGACACAACAACAAGAAGAAAAGTATATACAAAAGAAACGAAGTCAAACACAAAATATCAGAAATTCAACACAATTTACTCTCATTCCTGGAACAAAAGTCGTGTAGTTCTTGACGACAAACCGTTGACAAAGAAACGTTTAAGTTTAAGTCGAAATTATTATATCGTAGACTCTACGCAAGGTAATGGATATCTTATAAAAGCTGCTGACGACTCCATAGCATTTTACCCTCGTCATAAATTAGTCGAAAGTAGTAATGGCAAACTTGCTGAAACCATTGACGAAGCAAAGCGAGGAGTGGTTATTGAAATACTTGACTACAACATAAACGATGACACTTATAAAGTAAGATATGAAGGAGGCGTTGAAGATGTTATACCATCTAAGAACTTGAGAGAATCTAAACCAACACATCTGGGACCATTAGAGCGGGAGTACTGGAAAGATAAAAACATGCCAGAAAGAATAAGAAAATTCTTCTAAACTTTTTCATTAGATGTAAATCAGACATGAATGAGAACAGTCATGTATTATTAATGGTACCATTTATTTTAACATAAAGACGCAAACGGACTCTTTGAGTCCTGAAGGTCTTTCAGACCGAAGCGGCGGGGCATAGCCCATGACCAAAAATAAGCCGCTAGCGGCAAGGGCGAAGCCCATGTTTAGGGTAGATGGTTAGATCTACCCTCATTTCTACCCTCGTGAATTTTCATGAATTTCCTTATGAAAGAAAAAAATAAAGTTAGTTTTATTTTTATTTATTTTTTTATCTTGTATGTAAAGATATGATTTCAACAATAGGTTCTACAACACTTCAAGCCGCGAACGGCGGGACTCTGTCCACAACAACTTCACCAAACTCTTTAGTTATGAATCCAACATCTATGTTAGTTGAGATGAAAAGCTTCATTCCTTCTTCATATACTTTCGAAACAACAATCCAGAAGACAAAGCAAGAACTTTTAACAAGTACTTTGGACTGTTGTGCGAAAGATGAACAAAATGAACAATATCTTTATGAAATGCAGGACATTATTGACCATTTACCCAAATTGCCTGAAATCCAACAACAAAAGCTCACTATTCCTGAATTCGATGAAATAGAAGTCAAAGCAACTGACTCAGTAGAAATTAAGAAATTCATACGTAAAGTAAATTATGAATTCCTTGGTTTTCATTGCAACCATAAAGTTATGGACAAAGATTGCGACATGGTTTATAAAAATATTTCTGACCTTTACAAATCCGAAGAATTTAAGACATACGATAACTTTGTTTCATTAGTTGCAAAATGTGTTTGGGAAATAAGAGATAAAGATAGAAGAGGTAAAGTATGGAATGAACAGATAAAACCAGCAGCTTTTGAGTTAAAGAAAACCATTGACGCTTTAGTTGTTCTAGCTGGTTTTATTTCAATGTATAACGCAAAAATGAATCCGCAATGTTCAAAATGTAAAGCAGCAATAAGAAAATATAACTACTCCGTCAAAGAGATAGAACGTATGAGAAACGACTATGCAGACTTAAAGAAAGAAGCAGAAAAGCCAGCAGAAGATAAAATGGATATGTTGACATTTCTTAATAAAAACTATCCAACAGCAGAAGATTTCCTTTTATCTGACGTCAAGAAGAAGTATAAAGAAACCTTCGGCATTGTTAAAACATTCGATGTACTAAAAGAAGAAATAGAAGCTACGAAATTGTTTAGAATCTCACGAATTCATAACGTCTACCATGTAAAACGTTTATAAAATAACTGGGGTAGAAATGAGGGTAGAAATGAGGTTAGATCTAACCATCTACCCTAAACATGGGCTTCGCCCTTGCCGCTAGCGGCTTATTTTTGGTTAAAGCTTCCACGAGAGAAAAGATTCCTCATTCGCTAAGGATTCCAAAAATGAAAAAATCATTGATTTCGGCTGAGAAAAAACGGCAAACAAGACAAATAAAGAAAATAAGAAAATACGGCGCCGTCGCGGTTCGAACCACAGACTCTGACCCCTCCATAACACCACCTTAGACCACTGTGCTACGTAGCCTGTCGACATAAGATTTTATAAATTGCATATTTGACGTAAATTTATTTCCATCTGGCTTCCCACTGCATAAGATATTCATACGTGTTTGTAAGACATTCATTAAACTTCTTTTCTATTGCATCTAATCTTGCGTTATTTTTTTCAATAACTTGTCTGTATTCTTCATCATCTCCAGCAGTGTTTGGGTCTTCACGTTTAAAATATTCATTGTTAACCAATTTTTTATCTACAAATTTTATTAGTGTTTGATTCACTTCGTTATGATAACGGTCATATTCTTTCAATACGTAAGTGAAGACAAAATGCGTCGTACCTTCAATCTTAAAGCTTAAAGAACTTTCAACACAGTTTTGAGGGTCTGTCAGTGCGTCAATGAGATAGTATTCGAAGTCAGTCAATAATCTTTTTAAAGTCATTTCATACAGGATAAAATTTAATGTTGTGAAGAAATAGTGTTTATCTCAAAAAAAATAAAGTTAGTTTTTATTTTATTTATTTTTTTATCCTGTATGTAAAGACAGATATGTCAACATTAGAGAACACAACAACTGCTATCGTTCATGAAGTCATAAATGAAGAATACGAATACATACAGTATAACAAACAATTGAGACTCATTCGTTCTGTCAAAGACGACATGTACCAAATGCAAAGTATTTTGACAGCATGTTATGCTCCAGATACTAAACTTCCTAAAGACTGGTTTAGGAACCAAAGCACTATTGAACTATTAAATGAAGCACAGCGAGACATACTTTTTTCTGAAAACAGTGAAGAACAGCGAGTAGGTAAAAAATCCCAGTCGCCAAAACTCTATGAAAACCGTGAAAAATTGCCAAACGGTTTGAGAGGATATTATGTTCATAGACTTTTAGTAAATGCAGTTGCAATGTGGGCTTCACCACGTTATGCTTGGAATATTTACAAACTTCTTGACGAATTTCACAGACAAGAACGTGGAGAGATGGAAAAGAAACTTCAAGCAAAAGATGAAGTCATTGAATCCAAAGACAAAAGCATACAGAAAAGAATACCACGTTCAGTACCAAAAGGAAAGGAAAAGAGTTATAAGTATATGATTTACGCTGAAGAGATGGAAAATGAAGAAGATAAAGATATGGTTATGTTGCATTTAGTCAGAAGAAACAACAAAAGCTTTTACGACCTTGCTAAAATATATAAATCTGACAGAAACTGGTTCTATCGTGAAAACTTACCGATTTCAATGACACCGAATGAGCAAATAAAAGAAATTGTCAAAAATACTCTTCCTCAAACACACTATGACATCAAAGGTTGCACAATACTTACCTTCAAAGAAGACTTACCATTACTGAAGGAAAAAATAACAGAATATTTCGATAACTTCAAAGAGGAAGAATGAAGTCACGACAACATTAACGAAGAAGTCACGACAACATTAACGAAGAGAGAATGAGGTGAAAAAACAGGTGAAATCTCACCTCTTCACCAAAAATATATTTTTGGTTAAATAGCTTCAGGGTCAATTTCTTCAACCATTTCACTTCCTTCGTCAATGTCAATAGAAGCTTCTTCAACCTTTGGTAAGAACTTTTGTATAACATCTTTGTTCGTTATTGTCTTCAGAGATGAAGGATAATATTTCACAGATGTTTCACCCTTCTTATATTCTTTCTGTTCGGAAAGATTCATAGCAATACTGAAGAAGTCAATGTTGGAGTTCTTTATAACAGTATAATGAGTATCTTTGACATTCACGAAGAAACCCTTTTGTTTCAAAACTACTGCTAACTCTTGTGAAGTATAACGTTTGCGGTCAATGACAATAGCTAATGGTCTGACATACTGACCGAACTTAGATTCTTTCACAAACTTCTTGTTAAAGATAACATTAACGTTTGCAGAACCATTGAACTCATTCTTGATGGCAGTAGCGAGAGCATTGTATGAAAAGAACTTGCAATCTTGCATGTGTTTCATTAAAATAAAAATATTAAATTATTTTGAAAAATAACTTAAAAAATGTAATCTAATTTTTCAAAAAATATTTTTTATCCGATAGAAAAGATGACAGAAAAATTAACTTTTTACATAGCGCCAGACCCTTCTTGCCCACATCCTTTTAAGCCACAATATATAGACATAGAACTAAATAGAGAAAGCGAAATTCCACAATATATATACATAGAACTAAATAGTGAAGGCGAAATTCTACAAACAGAAGAAAGCGAAATTCCACAAACATATAGAGACCTAGATAACGAAAATGGATATGCGCTATTCTGGTTAGATTGTCCTTATAAAATGTATGAAAAAAAGGCTTTATATGAAGAATATAGAAAATATTGTCATGAAAACGATATAAGACCAAGCTCTAGAGAAAAATTCTATGCTGGTATAAAACATCTTTTCGAAGTTCGGAATGGCAAATATATAAAGAAATAATTTTTCTAAGTTTATTTTTTCGAAAAAATATTTTTTTATTTCCTACTAAAGATGTATCGGAAGTTGTCTAAGTTAGAACACTCGGAAATAAAACAACTTCTTACAGAAGCTAATATAGATGTTGCAAAACATTACGCGACAAACAAAAAAGCACTCGCTGACTTCATTAAAGACTACAATGGTGCAATAAGTTATGATAGAATTCATGAGTTCATAAAGCCGCAACGCGGCGAGGACGAAGTCCATGCAAGAGCATTTCCTTTAAATGACATTGCTATTGACTTATATCATAGACGTTCAGTACCTCATGAAGTAAGAAGAGAAATGTTTGACATAACAAAGCCGCATGACGGCGCGGGCGTAGCCCATGCAAACGTTGGTGAAACAAGAAGAAGAGACGACACACTGAAACAACAGAGAAGAGAGATGTTTAAAAGTGCTATAGAACAAGTTCGCAAAGCTAACGATGTCATTCGTTCCATTGACGACAAACCAAAAGAAGGTGAGAGATGGTTAAAGAAAGATGAAGAGAATAGGAAGAGAAATGTGAAGTCAGGCAATAGACTCATTGACTTTAACATCGAAGCTTTAGATGAACCAAACAGAGACTACTTACACAAACATTTCGGTAAGGTTTTCATGAGACTCTTAGAGAAAATTAAAATAAACTCACAACAGATGGATGGTATGTTATAAACTTGGTGGAAAGTATGAATGTTCTACGTTAAACCTCAATAATATTGGAACATTACTACATCAGCTCTTGAAGGAGAACTTTATATCAGAGATAGAAGCAAATGCTGCAGGTATTGTTGAAATGCACTATGACTTCTTCTTGACAAACATAAAGAATCTTACGAAATAAAGATGTATGATTTAACAGAATATGAAGGCTTAACGATGTCAGATGTAAAGAAAGGCAAACCAAAAAAGAGACCATATAGAGATGAAAGCACACTGACAAATGACCAGAAAGCCATTTTGGAAGCTCTTAAGCAAACAGGAAACCCAGCACTTATAGAAAGCTTTTGGAAAGATAATGGTGAAAAGAAGTTTTATAAGAAGAGAAGCGGTCAGTTATGGAAGTATCTTTGCACATTACCTATAAATCTTGAACGCTACCAAATCTTCAATGAACTGAACAAAAGAACTGCAACACTTATGACAGAGGACAATTGTTTCGTTTATGCTTGCATTCAGGCTGGAGTAAATGAAGAAACTATTGACCACATGAGAGAAGTCATTCGTGTTAGAGACTTTCCTCAAAGTAAAGTACAAGAAATTTCTGACGCAACAGGTATAGCATTTAATGTTACCATTGGTTATTTCAATGACTCAAGACATAATGAAATAAAGAGATATATACCAAAAGAATGCGAAACTGTTAGAACTATTGACTTACTTCTTGTTGAAGACCACTACATGCTAAATGAAAGACTTCCAATGACAACATACTTCATTCGAAACTATAAAGAAATTCTCAAAGCTTGTGGTGGAATGAACATTGAGAAACAGATGAAGATTTATACAAAGAGAGAAGATAAATATGTAGTTCGTTATGATAGAACAACACCGTTATGGGATGTTATGAAAACATTGTGGGAGTGCAAATATTTCGAACCTATTTCTTATGGAGAACTTTTCACATATACTACTGACTTATATAAACAGAACCTTGCACCATTTAAAGATTTGACATATGCTCCAAAGTATTGTGTACAACTGAAGAAGAAAGCAGAGTCAAAAGAAGTAAATAAAGCTAAATGTAAATTCATTCCTGAGCACGTTTTCTTTGCTGACTTTGAGTGTAGTACGGATGGCTTTCATAAAGCTTTTAACATCTGTTATGACAGTGAAGATGGTTCAGTGAGTGAAAGCATTTGGGGTCAAAACTGTGCAACAGAATTTTTGGAAAGACTCCCTGACAAGAGTTTAATATATTTTCACAACCTCAGTTATGACATAAACTTCATCTTAAGACACATGACAGAAGTGAAAGGAACTCCCATCATTAAAGGTTCACGAACAATGCAAATAACTGGTTTATATAAAGGACGGGCAATTATTATAAAAGACTCTTACAGTGTTATAAATAAGAAGCTTAAACTATTTCCTGCTATGTTTAACTTACAAACAGGACCGAAAGAAGTATTTCCATATAACTACTACAGCAGTGTTTTGTTAGCAAATGACAACAGAACTGGTGTCATTTCTGAAGCATGTAAGTTTATCCATGATGCAGATACATTTATGAAAAACATAGATTCCATCAAAGGTTGCAGAATAGATGAGAACCACTTCGACTTAGAAAAATATAGCACGTTTTACTGCAAACAAGATGTAAGAATTTTAAGAGAAGGTTTTGTAAAGTTCCGCAATGACTTATTGAAAGAGTTTGATTTAAACGTTTATGACTACGTTAGTATTTGTTCTATTGCTAACAAATTGTTTGAGAACAGAGTATACTTCCCGAATGGAAATCTTTATGACCTCTCAAATAAACCAAGAGAATTTATTTCGAGATGCATTCAAGGTGGAAGATGTATGTTGTCAGATAACATGAAACAAAAGAGCAAAAAGAAACTCATTGCTGACTTCGACACTGTTTCATTATATCCTTCAGCTATAGCAAGACTTTATACTTTAGAAGGTATTCCAAAAGTATTGAAGGAAGAAATGTTAAGCACAGAGTATCTCATGAGACATTTATTCGATGATGACCAAAAGGAACCCATTGGTGAAAAGTTTATGTCTGGCTTCTTTGTTCTCATTAAGATAACAGAGATTGGTATACCCAGACACTTTCATTTAATAGTTTGCGACCCTGAACTAAATCCAGAACTTAACGTTCCAAGAAGTTCAAACACTTGCTGTCTCATGTATGTTGACCATATAACATTACAAGACCTCATAAAATATCAAGGTGTCAAATGTGAAGTGTTGCAAGGATACTATTACGATGGAAACAGAGATATGAGAATAAGAGATGAAGTAAAGAAGTTGTTTGAGTTAAGGTTAAAGTATAAGAAAGAAGAAAACCCCTTACAAGAAATTATAAAACTCATTCTGAACAGCATTTATGGCAAAACTATTCTATCTCCTATTGAGTCAAAAATAACCATAGTAGATGACAAAGATGCTATAAGATATGCTATAAGAAATTACAACCATATAGTGAAGTTCGAAGGTTTGGATGGTTCAGATAAAACTATTTTCAAGCTAACGAAAAGCATTTGCAGACACTTTAACTTCTGTCCACTTGGTGTTAATATTCTGTCTATGTCAAAACGTATTATGAATGAAGTATTCTGTACTGCAGAGGACATGGGTCTTCAAATATTTTACCAGGATACCGACAGTATGCACTTATATAATGAAGACATCCCAAAGCTTGCAGCAGAGTTTAAGAAGAGATACGGTAGAGAACTTATAGGAAAGAACCTTGGTCAATTTCATAGCGACTTTGCAGAAATAACACCTGGAAAACAAAGTTTAGCTTATAAAAGTATTTTCTGTGGAAAGAAGACCTACATAGACTTACTCACGAATGATTTAAATGAAGTTGCATTTCACTGCAGAATGAAAGGCGTGAAGCAAGATGTTATTGCTTTAACCGCTAATGAAATGTTTCCTGAAGCTATACAATGCTATTACAATGAAGATAAGAACATTCACATACCTGTTGGAACATATGACAAAGACTCTGAGTTCAGTTTAATGAAACTTTACAAAGCACTTTATGATGGTCAAGAGATTGCATTCGACTTATGTAAGTCATGTCAACCTTGCTTTGCTGAAAAGTTCAACTTTTCAATAACGACTAAAACAAGCTTTATTCGTAAGTTGAAGTTCTGAGGTCATTTATTGGCTAGGGTATTTTGTCAGCAATGAGGTCATTCGTGATAAAAATAAAGCTAGCGTAGATTTTACAATACTGCGATGGTAGAGTTTAAGAGTTGTGCTTCAATGTAGAGACAGTCCTTCCCATCTGGAGGCAAGAACACTGGACATTTATGGTCATGAGTGGAGAACATGTCTATCCAAAACTCACGATTGAAGCCAGTTAATTTATAGTATTTAGGGTTAGGAAGTGGTGAAGTTCTTGTATGACCAATGAACTCATTTTCAACGCCTTTGGCTATATTAGAGTAAATATTGCTTGCTTTCTATCCCAAATGCCAGGTGTTACAATCTTTGAAAATTCATTTTTCCTCGGAAGCATTGCATCATAATTGAAAACATTCTTGAAATCATCACTTGGTTCAGAGATTTGAAATCTTATACGTAATGGATTTTTTTTCTCTTTAGCGACTTCATTGAATGGTGAGAATACAATGAATTGACAGTCATGAGTTCCATCTTCATTTTCATTAAATTCATAATGAAAGTCTATAAGTTGTGGCTGACTACCTTCTTCTTTCAGTTGTGCAAGAAACTCACGTAAAGGCTGTAAAGTTTGTACTTCAATATTGAACTTTTTCTCGAACATCTCATTAAATGAAATCATACATTGCAACAATGTTGTATCGTCTTTAAAGTATTTGTATATGTGAATGTTTTGGGCGCTTAAAGACTGTTCGTCATTTTCTATCTCGACTTGAAGTATAAAGTCAACCTTTCTGAAAGCACGTGTTATATACATAGATGTTATGCCAATGTACTTCTCTTCATTTATGTTCACAATCCAGTCTGTTGGAAACTTAAACGTTACTCTGTTCCCCTTTATTTTGACGTCAGGGTTTTCACTACTGAACGCAACAGATAAAGGTATTTGTCTATACATTTAATTCGGATAAAAATAAACCATTTACTCTTTCTTTGCTTCAGCTTCTTTAGCTTTTTGTTCTTTCTTTGCTTTTGCTTCCTTTGCTTTTTGTTCTTCCTTTGCTTTTGCTTCTTCTCTAGCTTTTTTCGCCAGCAAACGTGGGTTCTTCTGTCTTCCAGCAGCTAATGCAGCAAGTTGTTTTTCACTAAGTTTTCTCTTTGGTCTCTCTGGCTTTTGTTCTTGTTTTTGTTCCTTCAGTTCGGATAAAATTTGCTCACGAATTTCTTTCTTCAATGCTTCAACATCTATGACACCTTGGGTCTTGTCCGTAGGGCTTGTCTGAGTCATTTGACTGCAGATAAAAAACAAAATTAAAACTTTAACCGATGTAAAATGAGCTTGTCAAAATCAGAGCGAGAGTCTATTATATTAAATGACGCAAGAGGAATACAACATCCTTTCTATTATGTAAGTCAGAGTAAAGATGGTAAAATATACGTAAGAAAAAGAAAGGTTCCATTAGCGAATGCAGAAAGCGACAACATTAAGGTGTATGGCAAGGGTGAAGCCCACGAAGCCCATATAAAACCTTCTGTTCAAACTGAAAAGTCAATAGAACAAGAAGAAAAGAAGCCAGATGTTCTTTCAATAACGAACCAAGAGCTTATTGCAAAGTTCGTGAATTTCATTGAAAAACAAACCGAGTCAAAGAATCCTGACCCGCCAGTGAAAGAAGTTGAGACAAAAGAGAATGTACAGTTCATTGAAAATGTCAAGAAACAACTTCCACCACGAATACCAAGAAGAAGAGTGAGAATAATGAAGTAAATAGATATTTTTATCTGAAGTAAATACATGCAGAACGAACAGCTAAACGAATTTACTCCAGCAGAGCATATTCATCAGATTCGCTCATATTTCGATATCATAGACAATGCAGTTCAAATTGGTGACACTAATAGAAAATATTCTGACGCAAAGATTCCATCACAACCTGGAACTGCTAAAGATAACACATGGGTAACATTCAATCTCTCACCTCCTGGTGAAAATATGTTGGACCTTTACAATACATTCATTACGTATAAAATGGAAGGTCAATTTATTGTAGATAAAGAAATTGGTTCAGGTTCCAATAAAACAAACCCACCAGGATTTTGGATTGGTTTCGATGACGCTTTCTATGCAGTTGCTGGATATCAAATCCTTGCAAATGGTCGTATCGTATATTCTCAAGACAACGCAAGAGAAGAAGCATATATAACTTCAAACTCACAAACTACCGAACAAATAAAGAAAGTAGATGTTTTCTCAAAGACTCGACATGAAGATGTATGGAGTCATTCGGGAACATGCAGAACAGGACAAATTGTTAGTGGTCCAATTACAGCAGGAAAATCATTTGATTTTAAGCTTCGTTTAAGAATTCCTGTTAGAAGATTCCTTCCATTAGAAGCTATTCGATTTATTCCAGCTTTTGCAGGAAACATTCAGCTTAAAGTAAAGTTCAGTAGCGACGCCTTACAATGCACATCTATATCTGTAAATGATATCATTGCTTTCAATCCAACTCTTAAAGTTGCATTTGCTTCAGATTCAAATCCACCGACAAATAAATTTGTTCCATGGAATGAACCATTCACTATGATAACGAAGGCAGTAGAAGCTAGTGGAACAGTTACTATTACAACTGTAACCCAGCAACTATTTCGAACAAAGATGGATTTTAATGAATGTTTCATTCATCCAAAGTCATTCTCTTTAGACCCTAACATTTATACAGAACTTGTAGAACATTATACAAACGAGGCTTTATGTTTTCCTGTTAAAGTTATGGATTGGATTCCTATGGACGGTTCATTCTCAAAGAATACAGATAGTTCAAGTGCAACATTTACAGCAGCTTATACGCCTATTAATGTTAAAAGTATTTGGGCACTATTTAGAAAGAAAGACAACTATTATGTTAATTTTGAGAACCCTAAGTTTAAATATCTTCAGCTTTCCATGGGAGCTTATGGAAATATGCCTGCAGAACCTGAAAAATCATATGGACCTGTATTTTATGAAATGGTTGCGAACGCTTGCAATACAAACAATGATATGATTGGATTTAATGAAGATGTTATGAGGTCATTGGTGGATGATGGTAGTGTGGAACATAAATGGGATAGCTATGACAACACACATTTCTTATGTGGTTTTCCAACAGAAGTGGACTTTTGCTTCCAGCAAGGTCAAACATCTACTGCTCCAATAACATACAAATTGTCTGTTAAAGGACCTATTGAACTAGCAACTGAAAACGTACCAAAGCCACTTATTGGATTTATGAGGGATTGTTGCTTTGCAATACAAGTAAGACAGTCAGGCATACCAATAATAAGACTTGACGACTATAACTTAGCAACTGACGACAGTGAGGAATAAAGGATGAACGTTTATTTTTAAAGCTTATAAATGAGTTCTTCATCAAGCTCTCGCGAACCTTCACCATCTATGAAACAAACTTTACCAAACGATTATGGAGCACCTATTGAATATTTCTTACGAGCTGCACAATGGCAAAGAGCAGTCTCACCAAGGTTAGGTGTTCCACCAGCTCCTGTCAAAAATAGCATTTGGTCAAGTCCTTATATAAGATATGGTCTCCCACTAGGTTTGCTAGCTACAGCAGGAGCAGTTATGATGTTGAAAAGAAATAAAGCAAATGTTATAAATAATACTGAAGTAGCTGAAGTTAAACAAACTCCAACACATTCGCCAAAACCAACGCCTTCACAAGCAAAACCTTCAATAACTCCTGAACCTATGGAAGTACAAACTCCTGTTCAAAAGTCAACTCCTAAACCGACTCCAACATTTAAACCAGAACCCACGCC